ACATTTTAGTCACAAGATTTTTGTGTTTTCCATCTTGTCCTTTTTCATCAAGGATGATGAATGGAGCAATGTTTGGTTCCAAAGTAATTGTCCTATCATCAATCCTATTTCATGAAAGACTCTCCTTCAAAATCTCTTATCTTTACATAGGACTTCCACATGTAGAAGAAAATATCTGATTCCCAACACGCCCTTCACACAATACCAGCCACAATATTGCTGATCTAGTCTAGTGACAGTAGACTATACTGACCATACAGCTAGTCTAGTGAGAGCAATGTGTGGATCAGGGTGAGTCCATAGCTGTCAACCGTCCCTTATTTGGCGGGAAAGTCCCTTATCCCAGCGTTGTGTTCCGCTGCTGTCCCTTATTGATGATGTCCCTTAAATTTACCGGGTTTCAAAGGAAGCAGCTCCTCTCCCTCCCTGCCTGCCGGCCAGGGAGGAGGGAGGCTCCAACTGTGTTGCTTGGCTGTGTTGCTCACCCAATAAGGAGTCTAAGAACGACTGGGGGGTGGAGCTTGCATGCCTTGTGCCGATCAAATCGGCTGTGTTGCCTGGGGACTCGCCTTTGCTCAGCACTTTTCCTTGCTGCATCCCCTTTGCCGGGTTGCTGCGCTGTGGGAACCACTGCTTGAGGCTTCGTTTGGCTGCTGGCTGGGCTTTCTGCCTTTGGCTCGGAGGGGCTCAGAAGTTGAACATACCTGTGTCCGGAAAATCCCTTATTTTGGCTGCTGATCCCTTATTTTTGAGGCTGCTGGTCCCTTATTTTCAAATCTGTAAGTTGACAGCTATGGGTGAGTCAGATCCCACAAGTGAATCCATTGGATCTGTTTAGGTACCTGTGATTTACGTGTCCCATGCAGCCAGCTTTTACATCACACTGGTGGAACCCAGATGCCACCTTCCTTCCTAGAACTGACTGGTGTTGTCCAAGCTTGATCATGTCAACTGTCTCTTTGGAGGTCATTCACCATAGCTACATGTGAAGATTTCTGAACTAGAGATTCTGAACACTACATTTCCTTGCCTGTATATAAAATTTCAGGCCTTTGCTGAAAGTTCTTCACTCTAAGGCACACCAGGGATTTTCAGGACTGTCCTTCATATGAAGAGAAAGCTGATAATGTACAGGAAGCATGTCACTGAAGTTTGTAGCGGGAGGAACAGGTGGAAATGTGGAGTTGTGACTACTTAGCAGGGCCTACAATACCGACGACTGACCAAGGGGTGCATTCCTAAGCTTTCAACTTGGCAGATGTAATGGTACATTTGCCCATGCCGATGTATCAAAGGAGGAGCGACAATGTGCCAACTGGTGACCTAGGCTCACTGGCTGTGTTCCAAAAGCAATCAAGACTAGGTCCATTGTGCCAGCACCCTCCTCTGCTTCAGCAGCCAAAACTGCAATTTCTACAAATCGTAGTAAGGATCGTTGACACCAAGAAGTGCACCCCATGCTAATTCCATTTCTTTATGTCTCTCTGTGTTACCTCTGAGCAGCTATAATGTTTATGAACATTCCGTGTCACCATAGCTTCTCAAGTTACCAGCTCACAACCATCAGCTAGTTTTCAGCCTGTTCTATAAATAAGTTTTGGCTTAGCTACCCTTTGCAACAAAAGGGTCAGAAACAAAGGCAATTTTGTGCCAGATTTTCCCCACTTTAAACACGGTATACAAATTAATCAAATTAATAAGAAATTAAAAGAAGGGAAAGGAACAGAGAAACATGAAACCCCTTGATTAACCCATTTCTTTCTCCTTTTAGATCTTATCAGCACATCTCTCTCATGTCTTGCCCAAGGGAGTGTCCTTTCTGTTACCCAGTTCAAGAATCCTTCTTCAGTTTATAGATCTACACTCTAAGAGGGTGTAGCTGTTGTTCCTTAGTTGTATAATTTCTCTCTTTAACCCCCCTCCACCCTCTCCTCCAGTCTATTAAACAATCACCTTTTGTGCCTCTTTCACAGAAACACACATTCTTCTGCTGCGCAAGATATTTAAGTTTTAATGGTTACAAAGTTTGAGAAAGTAGCTTGAAACATTACTCTCAAATATCTGATCTACCAACAAGCCTCCAAGGTATAATTACCTGAAGTCTGCTAACCGGTTCAGCCAATTTCCATTCAAAATGATTTTCCAAGCTCACCCATCCATGAAAGGGTTAGCGATTGTAAACTGGAGGGCAAATGGGAGGAGGAACATTAGTGGGTAGAGGAAAATAAATTAGAGATTCTTTTGATTTAGTTTAGTTTCAAGGACAAACATGTGCCCCTTTCTGGCACAGGAACACACACAAAAAAAGAAGTCTGGAGAGAGTTCATGAAATACCGATTGGCAAACAAAGTTGTTATAAGGCATGTCATACTCTTTTAACAGTGTAAAGCTTACCAGTGAAAACTTGTTTCTCCATGCAAATGCAAAGGCCTGGTTTACCTTTAAACAATATTAACATTAAATCTAATTATGCAGGAATCTGCTGTCAAGCTGAATTATTTAAGATCTCATGTACACAGTATTACAAATGTGGAATATCTTCAATGACCTAGGGTGGGTTTCAAATTATTTATATTAACTCCAGAATTACTCAGAATGCTTTGATATGTCTGCCACGGAAGGTATTTTGCATTAAAAACTAAGCAAGAAGGGCCCCCTAAATTTGACGCGGTCTTGCATCCTACTGAACTCTACACCACTGTTTTCCAAATGTTGGGTAAGGATCCCAAATGAATCCTGGTCAGATCTAAGGAGAGTTTGCACCTGTGAAGCCAGAGCTATTGTATTTTCATTTACAGTGTGTTAGAAAATGGAGAGAGAACAATGACCAAAAACAAAACAGTGAAGAGGCTGTGGATGTGCTGGACCATTGTCTTAACCTTGGTAATGGACTGGATGAGAGCCAATAAACTGAAGCTCAAACCAGATAAGATTGAGGCCTTGTTAGTGGGTGGTTTCCTAGACCAGATGGATGGGAGGCTGCCTACTCTTGGTGAGGTTACAGACCTACTGAAGAAGCAGCTCCACAGCTTGGGAGTACATATGGATCCTTTGCTGTTGCTGGAGGCTCAGGTGGCCTCAGTGTCACAGAGTGCCGGCCATCAGCTTTGGCTGGTGGCCCAGCTGCGTCCCTATCTGGACAGGGATAACCTAACTTTTGTTAGGTTATAACCTTGCCAACAAAGGTCCATATAGTTAAAGCTATGGTTTTCCCAGTAGTGATGTACAGAAGTGAGAGCTGGACCATAAAGAAGGCTGATTGCCGAAGAATTGATACTTTTGAATTATGGTGCTGGAGGAGACTCTTGAGAGTCCCATGGACTGCAAGAAGATCAAACATGTCCATTCTTAAGGAAATCAGCCCTGAGTGCTCACAGGAAGGACAGATCCTGAAGCTGAGACTCCAATACTTTGGCCACCTCATGAGAAGAGAAGACTCCCTGTTGGGAAAGATGGAGGGCACAAGGAGAAGGGGACGACAGAGGATGAGATGGTTGGATAGTGTTCTTGAAGCTACCAGCATGCGTTTGACTAAACTGCGGGAGGCAGTGGAAGACAGAAGTGCCTGGCGTGCTCTGGTCCATGGGGTCAGGAAGAGTCGGACACGACTAAACGACTAAACAACAACAACAACTTTTGTTGTCTGTGCTTTGGTAACCTCTAGGTTAGATTACTGCAACATGCTATACATGGGGCTGCCTCTGAAGATGATCCAGAAACTTCAGCTGGTGCCGAATTCAGCAGTCAGGTTGCTCTCCGGGGCATGGCAGTTTGAGCATACTGTATAATACCAGTCCTGGCCCGACTGCAATGGTTAACAATCCATTTCCAAGTCCAATTCAAAGTGCTTGTTATGACCTAAAAAGGTAAAGGTAAAGAACCCCTGACAGTTAAGTCCAGTCGCGACCTATTAAGTCTTAAATGGCTCAGAACTGTAAAACCTCAAAGACCACCTCTCCTCATATGAACTGACCCAGATTCTGTGCTCATCATCTGAGGCCCTTCTTCATGTGCCTCCTCCTCAAGAGGTCCAGAGGGCAGCAACGTGAGAACGAGCCTTTTTTGTGGTGGCTCACCACTTGTGGAGTGCTCTCCCCAGGAAGGCTCGCCTGGCACCTTCATCACATATCTCTAGCTGCCAGGTCCATCATTCTAACCACTACACCACACCAGCTTTCTGGTTGAAATATGAAGAACTGTAAGAAGAAAGAGCAGCAGGGGTTTTGAAGGTGCCCACAAACGCTTCACCCCTGGGTTGCAAAACTAGGCAGGCACACACACCATAGTCTTGTTCCTTGTTATGGTGAGGGGCATTATATTTTAATGAAATTGCAGCGAATGGTTCTAGATTTGGAATTATACATACAAATTGGCACATGCAGATTTGTATCTTCTTTTGTGGTAATGCGTTTATTTTAGCATTGCCTGAGGGTCCTCCGGACGCGAGTGGTGCTGTGGGTTAAACCACAGAGCCTACGACTTGCTGATCAGAAGGTCGGCGGTTTGAATCCCCGCGACGGGGTGAGCTCCCGTTGCTCGGTCCCTGCTCCTGCCAACCTAGCAGTTTGAAAGCACATCAAAGTGCAAGTAGCTAAATATGTACCGCTCTGGCAGGAAGGTAAACAGCGTTTCCGTGCACTGCTCTGGTCTGCCAGAAGCGGCTTAGTCATGCTGGCCACATGACCCGGAAGCTGTACGCCGGCTCCCTCGGCCAATAAAGCGAGATGAGCGCCGCAACCCCAGAGTCGGTCACGACTGGACCTAATGGTCGGGGTCCCTTTACCTTTACCTTTAAGGGTCCTCCAGACGTCCTTTTTGTTGCTCACCCATGATGCTTTGAGCTCATGATGGTGTCAGAACAGTTCTACCCAGGTGCCTACAAAGGTTTGGGTGAAGTCACGCTGTTGCATTTCCAGTCAGTACATGTCCCATAGCCTTCTGCTGAAATCACATGATTTATTTTTATATATATACCACAAATGTTCCTGGGTGTTTTTTCTCCCACTTTTATTGTGCTTCTTCTGACGTCAATAAAGCAGAAATATTGGGGGTGCACCCTTAAGAATGTTGCGGCTTATGAGAGAGTCAAGTGTGCTTCATTTGAGTATTGTGACTTTACTACCATGTGTTTGAGCATGAAGAAGCTCAGGTCCGGGGGTTTCCAGCACACACCACTTAGCTACATGGCTGGGATTACTGAAGGCTCTCCAAATGTCCTCTTTCATACCAGATAGACCAGTATTTCTGGTGTGGCCTAAACTGGTGTCCACTTTCAATTTGCTCAAAGTTCCTTCAGTTTTGCAAGGTGGCCAGCAGGTAGTGTATTCTGCTTCTTCTAAATGTAAAAAAAAAAAAGGAATTGGCAATTCAGACTCTTCCCCAGGGAATCGTGCAGGCCCTGACTGTATCCTTAAAAAAAAAAAAAGAAAAAAAAGTAGAGTATTATTTTCCTGCCCTTGGGGACCCCTTCCAACCCCACAGTTCTCTGATTCTCTGAGTTCTGGCCCCTCGCTTCGTCTTTCCCAAAACCCCTAGTCTGAAACCTCTGTTTTAAAAGCACACCTTTTTTCCTGTGGTGACATCACACCCTCTGTTAACCCTGGCAACCTCCCCCTCTCAGTTCTTCTGTTTCTGACCAATTCTCCTTGTGTTCTTAATAGCGTCGCTATCAGCAATCTCCTGAACAGGAGAACTGGTTCAGCCTGTATTTTTCACTGGCCTGGAATCTTCCCTTCGTGCTCCAAATATTAGCTAAACTCTGCCCTTTACTAAAGTTAGGATTATGGGGAACTTGTCCCCACTGCCCCAAATTCATAACAACAATATAGTGGTGGTTTAAAATAAAATCAATTAAATGACATAAAATAAGGAACAAAAGCTGAACCTTAAATCAAATTAATTCCCCCAAAATGTTTGGCAAAACAGAAACAGTTTCAGGCCTCTGTTTTTTAAAAGGACAACATTTTTCCTCTGTGTAATCTAACACCCATGTTACCCCCTTGTTTCATACATCCAAACATCTTCCTTTGATGGGCCATCAACACATTTGTCATGCTTCCATCCCAGGGGAAGACTGCATGCATTTATTAATTTCTAGCATTCAATAATTTCTAACATTCACTAACTTCTTAGAATGATGGAGACTTTTGCACCCCTAAATTCTGGTACCCCAAATCTGTACCAATACTTTGCTTCTTCCACATCCCACCTGAAACTCAACATCACCTAGATCCAATGCTTAAGAAGCATCAGGGCTGCTTGTAAAATGGAAGGACTGGAGCTTAAGGCTGTGTATCAATAAACAGAGGTCAAAAGTCCTGTAGCACTTTCAGGACATTCCGCCCAGTGAAATGGATCTGCATCTTTTGCATACGTCCTCAACTAGGGCTGTCATTTATTACCACGGTAAGATTTCCAGTAGCTGTGAGTCAGCTGAAATTGGAACTCCACCGGTTTTACACCTCTGGAAGTAAATACACAAGAGTTGAAGAAGAAATGTCACCGCTGCAGAACCCTTCCCATCTGTAACATTTGGTTGTGTGGGTGAGAGAGTTGCTGCTGAAGTAGATGAAACAAGGCTTTGAACAGTCCAGGGAGAGGAATGTTTTAGACGAACGAACCATCTTCTCTTTTCAAATTGATCAAAAGGATGAGAAATTCCGACAACGAGAGCAAAACCCCCAAGAATACCAGCCAAAAAAATGACTCCACTACTGTACTGACTTTCCTATACTGTATTTCTGGAAGCACCCTTTAATCATCAATGGGCAGATTTTATGCTAAGTTCTGATGAAGATGGGGTGGTGTGCTCTAGATCACAGCCACTATATAATTTCCCTTTGGATAAAAATAAAATGTGTTGTAAGTGTTTAAGGTGGCTGCCATATTTTCCCCTCTTTGGATAGGGGTGTCTCTGGTAACAGTGTTAACTTGCTGGCGACTTCCAAAACCCTACATTTGTGACCAGTATTTACCAAAAAAAGAGCATATTTTTAAGGCTCCCTTTCAAAAAACTACTGTGGAAACATTATTCAGAGATAGTGACTTGGTACAGAACTTTTTGATCAGAATTTTGGCAATCTAGTAAAGAGGCATCCATCTGTCTTAAGAGACAATGGAGTGCATCTCCAGGGGAGGCCAAACCACTGGAGAATCACAGCACCTGCTGTAGCTGCAGAGACCAGTAACTCATAACTGCTTCCTCCCACATTGTTTTTGCTGCGTTAGTGGCACCAACATGACCTCTCCGGGATGGAAGCCTGGGCAGTGTGTATGGAGGTCCTGGGCTGCCAAAACAACCAGACCCCATTCTCGGCCTCCCTGTGGTCCAAAGGAAAGCAGAGCAATACGTTTGGCACCAACTTGGCTGCAGGAGTTACTGGAAGGAGGCGTACAAGGCACCATTCAACCATCTTAGGGACTCCACTCCAGATTTGTGTAGGGTTAACTCCTTAGCCTTTTCTTCTCCTGAAGATGTTCCATAAGGTAACTCAGAAGTAAGCCAGAGCGATTTCAGAAGAGCTTAGCTTCAAATGATTGTAAATGGAGAATAGTCGTAACTTGGTTTTTGAACAACTTAGTTCACAAACAATTCAGAACTCGAACGTCACAATCCCAGAAGTAGGTGTTCCGGTTTGCGAACTTTGCCTCAGAAGCCGAATGTCCGGTGTGGCTTCCACAGCTTCTGATTGGCTGTAGGAGCATCCTGCAGCGAATCGGAAGCCGCGCCTTGGTTTCCGAACATTTCGGAAGCCGAACTGACTTCCGGAATGCATTCTGTTTGGAAACCAAGGTACTACTGTACAAAATAAATAAATGAGTCCACAATTGCTTCTTCCCCAAATTGCTGCTTAATTTTCCAACACCCTTTTCCTGATTTTTATAGTCTGATCCACAAGCAAATGCTGTTTTTTTAAAAAACAATAATGCTTTTTTATATAAAAAAAATTACAAGAAAGTTTAGCTAGATTATTCAAATTCAAGCTCCTCTAGTCTTACTCTTAACAGGTATAAGACTCATTGATACAGACAAGTGTAAGGTTCATGCAAACAGACATTTACCGTAATTTTCGCTCTATAACACGCACCCGACCATAACACGCACATAGTTTTTAGAGGAGGAAAATCCGTAGGCATGCCACCCGTAGGCATTCCCTCCATAACACGCATAGACATTTCCCCTTACTTTTTAGGAGGAAAAAAGTGAGTGTTATGGTGCAAAAAATACGGTAACTAGGGCTTAGTGGAAGGAGCTGGCCTGCATTCTACCTTCACAATACATTCAGCTGACATACTTATCTGTGATTCAAATACCAATCTCTCCCGTCTGTCTTGCTTTTCTTTTTCCTGCAGGCTACCTGCATTGTTATTTTTGAAAGTGCAATGTGAATGTCTACTTATTTCTATGTTCGTTTACTGCCTTATGTTTACATCCATTTAAAAACTGTGAAATTGTTCTGAGGATGTGGATCTAAGACATCAAAAGCACCAGCCTATTAGTTTTGTGCACAGCTACTTTCTGCAGCTAAACCACAGAGCCTGTGGCTTACGCATCAGAAGGTGGGCAGTTCGAATCCCCGCGACGGGGTGAGCGCCCATTGCTCGGGCCCTGCTCCTGCCAACCTAGCAGTTTGAAAGCACGTCAGAGTGCAAGTAGATAAATAGGTACCACTCCAGCGGGAAGGTAAACAGTGTTTCCATGTGCTGCTGTAGTTCGCCAGAAGCGGCTTAGTCATGCTGGCTACATGACTTGGAAGCTGTCTGCGGACAAATGCCGGCTCCTCAGCCTACAGAGCGAGATGAGCGCCGCAACCCCAGAGTCGTCCACGACTGGACCTAACGGTCAGGGGTGCCTTTACCTTACTTTCTGAAGCAAGCTCCCAAGTTTGATACTGGCTATGAAATTTCATTCAACACAGTGAGTGCACTTCCACAGTGGCCTCGTTCAAACGGAATGCTAAGCTTAGCATTATGCAAATGCGCCTGGGCAAATATCAGATCCCCATATTTTCTCGCTCACTCTTCCAACATGGGATCAGAAACTTTCACTTCCATTTTCGATGAACCACAGTTGCATTTAGGGCTGGCCCAATGCATTTTGGCACCTGAGGTGAACCACAAAATGGTGCACCGTAGCAGCAGCAGGCAATGCATTCCTTGGTCAGCTGGGTCTGCTGCCCTTGAGAATCCTGCTGCCTGAGGCGGTTGCCTCAACTTGCCTCATAGGTGGGCCGGCACTGGTTGTGTTACACCCACACTCAGAACCCAGATTCTTAAGCTATGGTATGAAACTGGATTGTTTTAATAAGACATAGTTAAGAGTAACCACTGCTTGTCTAGGTTCAGAAATAATGCTAAACTGCAGTTAGTTAAAAATAGCAGCAAAAGCTTATAAGCTTTTCCCTGGAGGGAGAGAACGCATAAGTTCAAGGCTTGTGCATGTAATACTAAACCGTAGTTTTGTGCTACATCCGACCAAAGCCAGTGCCCATTTAAACAACATACGTCTACATGCACCCTTCAATTCAAGGAGGCTGAATAAAGTGATTTGCCCATCAAGCAATTAAAAACCATTTCAAGCCCTGGCCCAGGGCAGCAGCTGACATGCTTAACAATCTGTGTTAGCAAGGCTCGGAATCCATGCTTGTCTGTACAAAGTTCACAGCCCTCTAGTATTCACAAAGTGTTAATTATGTGGCACAGATGGGATGTTTCAACTTACAGAATAAAGCTGCTTCGGGCAGCCTGTTTCTTTTTTGGAGCATGTCGTCTGTTTAACAGCTGATTCTGAGAAGGAGCTGACAGGAGACGGATTCTGCAGCACTGCATTCCCTGCATTTCTTGCTGAAAAGAGCACGTTCTCGGCGGTTGAATTCTGAAATAAATGCACTTGGGAAAGTCAAACTCTATGGGAAAGCCCCCAGCTAACCGAATTGCGGAAGGGAAAAGAGACACTGACAATATATTTGCATATTTGCAGTCTGAAAGGGAAAACATACCACTATGATAAGGAAATTCGACAGATGCCGTCTGCGAGCATCTTATGTTGGCAACTATGCTGCCAAAACTATGGAGAACAACAAAGAGAATGCCATTATGGGGAGAATTACAGCACATGTTTTTAGGAAACACCCTATGTTCCTTCCTAAAGCACTCAAGTGAAACATTCCTCTCCATCTCCCCAAACAGGAATATTGTAGCACAGAAGAATTCATTATTGACAGTCAGTGTAAAAATGTGCCCCCATGCTAGCCTTCTCTCTATAATTTATTATTATTTATTTTCTTATTAGAACTTACACCCAGCCCTTCAAACACAGGATGAAGGCTGCTTATGGTGAAACATTACAAAACAGCTGAAACAGAAAAATAAGCTAAAAACAAAAAATCTATAGCAGCTGAATAAAAAATAACCAGAGTAAAACAGATCAACACAATTTCAACTGCCTGGAAAGTTATTTGCCTGGCAGTGGAAAGTCACCAGAGTGGGCAACAGGTGAGCTTTTCTGGGAACAGCATTCCAAAACTAAGGTTCCACCACTAAAAAGGCCCTGTCCCCTGTTACCAGTTGAAGCCATTGGTTCAAGTCCTACCCCCAGGGCAGGAGAAAACAAGCTTGTTCCCTCTTCCATGTGACAGCCCTTGAGATATTTGAAGATGGCTATATCTCCTCTCAGTCTCCGCCTTTTCAGGCTAAACATACCCAGCTCCTTCAACCATTCCTCATAAGGCTTGGTTTCCAGACCCTTGACCATCTTGGTTGCCCTCCTTTGTACACATTCCAGCTCGACAACATCCTTCTTAAATTGTGGTGCCCAGAATTGCACACAGTATTCCAGGTGTGGTCTGACCAAGGCAGACTAGAGTGGTACTATGACTTCCCTTGATCTGGACACTAGACTTCTGTTGAGGCAGCCTAGCATAGTGTTGCTCACTGGAAGGACAGATCCTGAAGCTGAGACTCCAATGGCCACCTCATGAGAAGAGAAGACTCCCTGGAAAAGACCCTGATGTTGGGAGAGATGGAGGGCACAAGGAGAAGGGGACGACCGAGGACGAGATGGATGGATAGTGTTCTCAAAGCTACCAGCATGAGTTTGACCAAACTGCAGGAGGCAGTGGAAGACAGGAGTGCCTGGCGTGCTCTGGTCCATGGGGTCACGAAGAGTCAGACTAAACGACTAAACGACTAAACAACAACAGCATAGTGTTAGCTTTTTATTGCCTCATGTTGACTCATGTTATGCCCCAAGATCCTTTTCACACGTACTGCTTGTAAGCCATGTGTCCCCTGTCTTATATTTGTGCATTTGGTTCTCCCAGCCTAAGTTCAGGAAGAAGAGGACTTCCGGGGGGCGGCGCGAACGGCAATGGCGGTCTTCTCCCGACGGGAGAAGAGGCTCCGCTGAAATCGGGTCGTCCGCTACGGCGAAGCGGAGACCCAACGAGGAAAACCCCAGGCAGCAAGAGCCTGGGGTCCTGAGGCTCGGCGGGCGCCAAGAGCAGCCCTCCAACTGCAGAAGGAGCCTCGTAAGGGGCTCCGGAGCGTGGAGGGGGGTTGCGGCGCTGTGAGCCGTTTCACAGTCAGCGGAGTGAAGCCGCGCTGCTGCTGCCGGTGAGCGCTGATCCCTTTTCCTGTTAAAATTCGGACCTGGAAGAAAACAACTTACTCGTGAGTAAAGACTGAATCACTTGGAATTACAAATTTTAAATGAGAAGGTTAAATTTGGCTTGAATTTGGCTGAAAGCGGAGAGACGTGGAAACAGGAAGTCCGTCTTCCGCTGCCATTGAACTTGGAAAAAAAGCAACTAAGGCGGAGGAGTGGAGGCTGAAAGAAAGAGACTTTAAACTCTACACAGCCAAGCATCTATGGAACTTACAATTTAAAGTAAAATTAGTAATTTAAAGATTTGGATCTTTTATTTGTACTTGACTTTCCCCCTTTTATTGGATTACAAATTGGAAGGTGAAACCCAGAGTCAGGACTGCTTGAGCACTGTAAGAGCGAGCTGTCAGTGTTGATTTGGATACTGTATATTAGAAGTTGCAACAATCTGAGGGTATTGAGACCTTTTAAATTTGAAACATTCTTTTTGGAGACAAATAAGCACTGTCTGCAACAAAGTGATTACTTTTAAACTCTGCTTAATACTTATATTGGAAGGTTCTGGGACATTAAATCAGACTCTGAAAGACATCTTAAGCTCCCTCTAGAGGATTGGATTAAAACAGTGACTTTACAAATACATTTACTTTCGATTCCCTTGTTGTTTGCTTGCTCTGGGCCTCTCTATTCCTGTGGGAAAAACTCAGTGTGACCTTGACTTATAGATAACATTGGAATGAGTGGTACAAGAAGAAGAGGAAGAGTTAGACAAACAACTCTAACAAATCTAACCTCAGCCTCGCAGACACGTAGATCATCTGTGCCTACTTTGCCCTCAGAAGTACAACTTGAAGAAGCTGACTTGCCACAGGCAAAAGAGGGAGAGGGTGAAGCAGAGCAGTTACAATTGGAAGATATGGCCTCAGGATCATCTGTTTCTGTGCTAGAAAAAATTTTTGAAAAATTGGAAGCTTTGGACAAGAAAGTAGATGCGCAATCAGCAAAGATTGATAAAAATACAGACTGTCTAAACAAATTAACTACACAGGTGGGACAGAATACACAAGCAATTGGACAGTTGACGGAGGCCTCAGTAGAAAATCGAAAATTGGCTGAGGATACCAGACAAAAATTGGAAAATTTAGAGCAAGAGGTAAGACCACTCACTAAACAAGTTGGGGAACATCAGACTTATCTTTCTATGATAGAACTGCGAAATCGTGAGAACAATTTGAGGATTAGATCATTACAAGAGGCAGAAGAAGGAAATCTAACTGAGTTTTTGACCAAAGAACTTTCCAAGTTCTGGAATTTGGAAGAAAAGGACTTTAAAATCGTGTCAGCTTTCAGACTTGGAAGATTTATAAAGAAGGAGAGGCCCAGGGATTGTTTGATTACATTGAGATCGAAGGAGGAAAGGGATAAGATTTTGGGTCTACATTACGAAAAGTCACTGGAGGTTTTGGATAGAAGAATTGAGATATATAAAGATATCCCAAGACAACTGTTGGACCTTAGAGCCCCCTACTCTGAACTTGCTAAACTACTAAGGAGCAACGCAATTCCATTCAGGTGGGAATTTCCCCAAGGATTATCTTTTACCTTTAGAGCGAGAAAGGTCAAAATTAGAACATTGGAAGAGAGAGATAAATTTCTGGCTACATACGGAGAGGACCTACATAAAGGAATTGAACTACCTTCCGGGCCTGGGGCAAAGCCAGCGTCAATACCTCCACCCGGGGAGCTTGAAGACCCAGAGAAGACACCACCCCGGGAGAAATAACCAGACAGATCCAGGATGTCTCTGCAACTGTTGAGCTGGAATATTAATGGTTGCAATATTCCGGAGAAAAGGAAGAAAATATTCCATATATTAAAAAAAAGAACAATTGGACATTATTTGTTTACAAGAAACACATGTGACGAGGCTCCACAGAAAAGTGTTAATAAATAAAAGATTGGGCCAGGAATTTATTTCGTCGGACAAAGTGAAGAAGAGAGGAGTGGTGATATATGCAAAAGAGAGCCTGTCACCTAAATTTCTATTTAAAGATGAACATGGAAGGATTTTGGCTATTGAGATACAATATCAAGGAGAGAAACTGCTGATATTAGGAATCTATGCGCCCAATGAAGGGAAATCGGAATTTTACAAGAAGTTGCAGGGGACAATGCTGGATCATCTGGATTACAACAACATCATAATGATGGGAGACATGAACAGGGTCGTGTCAACTAACATGGACAAGTCGCAAAGTCAAAATGTCACAAAAGATGGCAGACTACCTAAAACCTTTTTGAAATGACTGACAATATGGACTTGATTGACATTTGGAGAACAAAGAACCCACTAGGTAGAGAAGGAACATTCTTTTCTGAAGCCCAACTGACCTGGACAAGAATCGACCAAATATGGATCTCTAGAGGCCTGGCACCTAGGGTTAGAAAAGTGGAAATCTGCCCAAAGACCTGCTCTGACCACAACGCAGTAAAGATGGATATGACACTACTACCAACTGGATCCTTTAGATGGAAGATGAATGACAATTTGTTTAGAGATCAGGAAATTACCAAGAAGGCCCAAAAAGTTTTGAAAGACTATTTCGAGATAAACATGAACAATTCGGTGGAAAAAGAATCGTCTGGGACGCAAGCAAAGCTGTCATGAGGGGATTCCTGATACAACAGAATGTAGCAAAGAAAAAAACACAAAATGAGAAAAAGACAAGATTTTGGATAAAATAAAAGAATTAGAGAAGAAATTAAGAGTGAATCCAAAGTCACAGCCAACTCTGAGAGAAATTAAACTGTATCAAACACAATATTCTAAATTGATAAATCAGGAAATTGAATGGAAGATTAAATTAATGAAACAAAAACGTTTGAGTCGGCGAATAAATGTGGAAAACTGCTATCTTGGCAGTTGAAGAGAAGACAAAGATTAAATACGGTTACAAATTTAGAGGTTGATGGAAGAAACATCCAGAATCCAGTGGACATTAGAAAGTGTTTCCAGAGATATTTTAAAAAACTATATACCCAAGGGCCGCAAGACGAAGTTGAGATTAAACAATTTTTGGCAAAAAATGGATTATCTAAACTGTCACAAGAAAATAGGACAACCCTGAACTCTAAAATAACACGACAGGAGATTGAACAAGCTATTCAGAACATGCAACTCGGCAAATCTCCAGGGCCAGACGGGCTGACCTCCAAGTATTATAAGACACTAAAAGACTATTTGATACAACCTTTGATGGAGGTTAGCAATGAAATTATGGAGGGAAGATGTCACCCGATTCGTGGAAGGAAGCGTTTATCACATTGATACCAAAGTCAGAAGCTGAAAAGACACAACTGAAGAACTACCGTCCCATCTCCCTTTTAAATGTGGATTACAAAATATTTGCAGATATTTTGGCAAGTAGATTTAAAAAGTTTTAAATGAAGTAATTCATAAGGACCAGGCCGGTTTTCTCCCAGGTAGACATCTGTTTGCTAACACAAGGAACATTATTGATATTTTGGAACTTCTCCAAACTGACATAAATACAAAAGCAGTTTTAATTTTTATAGATGCGGAGAAGGCCTTTGATAATATTTCTTGGAAATTTATGATGGGAAACTTAAAAGAGATGGGAGTGGGACGGGGTTTTGAGAATGGGATTGAGGCGATATATTCAGAACAGAAAGCTAAACTGATAGTTAATAATGTGGTTACAGAAGAGTTCAAAATTGAAAAAGGGACACGACAAGGCTGCCCTATCTCCCCTTTGTTATTTATTTCGGTTCTGGAAGTGCTATTGAACATGATTAGAGGAGACCAGTTGGTGGAAGGAATTCAGGTTGGTCAGAAACAATATAAACTAAAAGCTTTTGCAGATGACCTGGTTTTGACCTTGCAGAAGCCAGAGCCTAGTACGAAAAGAGTATTACAACTGATTAATGACTTTGGTCGGGTGGCGGGATTTAAATTAAATAAACAGAAAACCAAGGTTTTGGGAAAAAATTTGACTGAGACAGAGTCAGAACGGTTTCAGAATGAGACGGAACTTAATGTGGTTAAAAAGTAAAATACCTAGGGGTAAACATAACAGCAAAAAATCTAAGTCTATTTAAGGATAACTATGAAAAATGTTGGACAGAAATTAAGAGAGACTTAGACAGTTGGTCAAAATTGAAACTTTCTTTGTTAGGCCGAATTGCTGCGATTAAGATGAATGTATTGCCAAGAATGTTGTTTTTATTTCAAACACTTCAGGTGTTGGACAAAATGGAGTGCTTTCAGAAGTGGCAGAGAGACATTTCGAAGTTTGTCTGGCAGGGCAAAAAGCCCAGAATTAAGTTTAAGATATTAACTGATGCAAAACAAAGAGGGGGCTTTGCCCTGCCGGACTTAAAGTTGTATTACTGAAGCCGCAGCGTTCTGCTGGCTAAAAGATTGGCTACTTCTTGAAAACACTGATGTGTTGGATTTGGAAGGGTTTAACAATGTTTTTGGATGGCATGCATATTTATGGTATGACAAAGTTAAAGCAAATAAGGCCTTTAAGAACCATATTGTTAGAAAATCACTGTTTAATGTCTGGACAAAATATAAAGACTTGCTGGAAAATAAAACACCAAGGTGGCTTTCACCTTTGGAAGCTAAGGCCCGAAAAAGACCCAATATGGAGGCCAAATGGCCAAAATATTGGGAAATACTAGAAAAGATGGAGACAATTGGAAATTGCAGAGTTTGGAGAAAATGAAAGACAAAGTGCGAGATTGGTTACATTATGCTCAGATTAAAGAAGTTTTTAAAAATGATAAGAAACTAGGGTTCCAGGTGGAGAAATCGAAATTAGAAACAGAATTGTTAGAACCAAAGACTAAGATACTTTCAAGGATGTATAACTTGCTGTTGGAATGGAATACACAAGATGAAATGGTTAAATCGGCTATGATAAGGTGGGCACAGGATATTGGGCATAACATTATGTTTGAGGACTGGGAAAGGCTGTGGAGTAATGGATTGAAATTCACTGCATGTAATGCTTTGAAAGAAAATGTAATGAAAATGATTTATAGATGGTATATGACCCCAGTCAAACTCGCAAAAATTTACCACCTGTCTGATAACAAGTGCTGGAAATGTAAAGAGTGTGAAGGAACGTTCTTTCACCTCTGGTGGACCTGCCCTAAAGTGAAGGCGTTCTGGGAAATGATTTATAATGAATTGAAAAAGGTATTTAAATATACTTTCACTAAGAAACCAGAGGCTTTCCTTTTGGGTATTGTCAGCCAAGGGGTGGCAAAGAAGGATCAGACATTTTCATGTATGCAACAACAGCAGCAAGGATACTACTCGCAAAACATTGGAAAACTCAAGATCTACCCACACTGGAAGAATGGCAGATGCAACTGATAGACTATATGCAACTGGCTGAAATGACTGGCAGAATCCGTGACCTGGGAGAAGAGAGAATCGAGGAGGATTGGAAGAAATTTAAGAACTATCTACAAAAACATTGTGATTTGACTGAATGCTGAATAAGATGCTAGACTAAATAACTGAGCACCACTTAACTTAGAAGTTTTTAAGAAAGTAAGAAAAACTGTGAAAGTTTAACTCTTTATGAGAACTTTAAGATTATGAAATATCAAAGAGATATAAGAACTTAAATAAGATGATAAATTGCTGACAAAATGTTATAATGATGAAGGTGGGAGCGGGAGATGTGAGGAAGTCCAAAGAAAAGGTGAAATTATGTTAAGATGAATGATATATTGTTTATTACACTTATTCCTATTGTAAAACCCAATAAATTGCTTTAAAAAAAAAAAAAAAAAGTTCAGGAAGAAGAATTGAGATACAGTCATACCTCGGGTTGAATGTGCTTCAGGTTGAGCGCTTTCGGGTTGTGCTCCACAGCAACCCGGAAGTAATAGAGGGTGTTACTTCCAGGTTTCGCCGCTCGCGTATGCGCAGACACTCAAAATGACGTCACACGCATGCGTGGAAGTGGCAAAACACGACCTGCGCATGTGCAGACAAGCTGTCACATCTTACGTTCTGTTCAGGATGCGAACGGGGCTCTGGAACGGATCTCGTTCACATCCCGAGGTACCACTGTATAAACACAGGACAATAAATGAAAGTAAAATATGCTATGTGGTCAACAATGTTGTGGTACCTAACCGAAGAGAGAAGTTCACCTTAAGATGATGGAGACCACCGATGTTCACTTTTGAAAGGGTTGTGGATCATGGATAGAAAACAACAACACTGTTTAATGCACTTAAAGGCACTTTGGGCTGCTTGAGCCAATAAGTCTTTGAGAACCTGTTAAAGGCTGGTTCACACATAGCTCTGTGTTACTTGACTAGCAGCTGACTGTGAGGATTGACTTCAGGGCTGTTTTTAAGGAGGCGTGGCACTGCCTGATATTAAAAGATTTGTCTAAGGTTTTAGATCTGCGACGGTTCATTCACACACTTAGATCAACATACAATGCAGCTGTCATCTAGTTTTATGAATATACAGGTGTAAACCAGCCATGAGTCACACTGAATAGAGGTGAGAAGTCTGCTAGAATAATAAGTAGTCTAAGAATAATTTCTGTGTTGCACAGACAGTCGGAGAGCAACGAGCTAAGATTTAAAGGGAAATTATATACACAGAGGAAACTGAAATGTATCCTATTAATTTTAACTGCACCCAAAATAGATTCTCTGCCTTTCACCAGCTCCTCCAAAGCACACCAAAAGCTTGCTGTTTTCATCCTCTTAACAATTTACTGCAGTCAATGTTTTGATCTGCTTCATTCTACTGCTTTGTCAAAATAAAAAATGCTTACACTGGGGATGTAGGAGGTTTACTGTCCTCTCTGAGTATTTCCTAAATTGGCAGTTGCTTGGGTGGGGATGGGGATTAATAGATGAATAATCAAATCTGGAGTGGAAAGCAAACATCTGGGGTGTGGGATAATCACAAAAATTTTGAAAGGAGAGCTATTCCTTTCTTAACCTGGAAATAAAATGATGATGTAAATCATGGGTAGGCAAACTAAGGCCCAATCGCCTTCTAAATCCGGCCCGCGGACGGTGCAGGAATCAGTGTGTTTTTACATGAGTAGAATGTGTCCTTTTATTTAAAATGCATCTCTGGGTTATTTGTGGGGCCTGCCTGGTGTTTTTACACGACTAGAATGTGTGCTTTTATTTTAAATGCATCTTTGGGTTATTTGTGAGGCATAGGAATTCGTTCATTTCCCCTCCCTCCCAAAAAAATATAGTCTGGCCCTCCACAAGGTTTGAGGGACAGTGGACGGGCCCCTGCTGAAAAAGTTTGCTGACCCCTGATGTAAATGATCACAGCTTAATAAACCTGTATGCATCCAGTCAAGGCATTTCTTCAACAGCCAGTGTGGTGTAGTGATTATAAGTATCAAACTAAGACCTGGGAGACCACAGTTCAAATCCCCACCCACTGAGTGACCTTGGGCCAATTACTGCCTCCCCGCCTCACCTACCTCACAGGGTTGTTGTTGGGCGTAACTGAGGAGTGGGAGAATCATGTACGCTGCCTTGAGCTCCTTGGAGGATAGGAAAGATATCAGTGTAATAAACAAGATAAATAATAAACCATAATAAACAGCCCTTAATGTTGACCTTGCCTGCAGTCAGAGTCTCAAGTCATTTATACATTTGTGAGATGATGGGAGCAACTGCATGGTGGTCCTTCTCCATTCCTGTGTGGCTCAGGGCCGGCCCTCCCATTAGGCAGAGTGAGTCAGCTCCTGGATACTGAGGGATGGGAAGAGGAGGGAACTGTGTGCGTACAATGCCTTGCTCTGCTTCTCCTAAGCTAGCCTGCTGCCTTCAGGTGCAGCAGAAGACAACGTTGACAGCATCCAAGTATGATTCAGCTACAATTCCAGTCAGTTTTTGTACATGAAATGCGAGGAGCCATCATCTTGTCGTTTGCCTCAGGCAGCAAAATGTCTTGGGCGAATTTTAGTATACAGCCCAATATTTGGGAATGGTGACAGCGCTAAGACTAGCCCTGGCCCTGTAGAAGGGTTTGAGGTGTGATTCATTCTTGCGCTGTAATTCGCTTGACAGCTATGTCATGGTGTAGGAAATCGACCACATACTGAACCCTTCAGCAGACACGGGGCAGTATGCAACGGAATAGCTGCACGAGCACAAGGCTTAGTGCTGGTGCAACAGGATTCCCATCCGCTCCTCCCCATGTGAGTTCTGTACCATCCTTAAATCTGATCTGTTTTTTTTTTTTTAATAAGATATTTATTAAGATTTTCAGAGTATTACAAGATAAAAAAAAGAAAAAAGAAAAATGCAAAATAAAAATGATTAAAAACAATTCATTCTTTCCTTTACTTATCCTTCATTTGCTTATTTCCCGGACCTCCTCACGCCTCCCATATAAGAATACCAGTTCAATTTGTTAGTTCAGCAAATCCCTCCCTCTTTGTATATCCTAGTCATTAATCATAAAGTATTGTAATTTTAAATTTTTACCTATTAATAATCCATTTTTCATATTCCCTTGTGACATTTCAGCTAAAGACCACTTAATTTCTATCCAACATCATTCTAGCATTCATTGATTTTACAATATTTCTGTAAATAGTCTTTAAACTTTTCCCAGTCTTCTTCCATCAACTCTTCTCCCTGGTCTCGGATTCTGCCAGTCATTTCCGCCAGTTCCATATAGTCCATCACCTTCATCTGCCATTCTTCCAAGGGGGTAGCTCTTGTGTCTTCCAATACTTTGCGATGAGTATTCTTGCTGCTGTTGTGGCATACATAAAAAAAGTTCTATCCTTCTTTGGCACCAATTGGCCGACTATGCCCAGGAGAAAGGCCTCTGGTTTCTTCAAGAAGGTATATTTAAATACCTTTTTCAATTCATTATAGATCATCTCCCAGAAAACCTTAATCCTTGGGCACATCCACCAAAGGTGAAAGAATGTACCTTCATTTTCTTTACATTTCCAACATTTATTATCGGGCAAATGATAGATTTTTGCAAGCTTGACTGGTGTCATGTACCACCTGTATATCATTTTCATAATATTCTCTCTTAGGGCATTACATGCCGTAAATTTCATACCTGTGGTCCACAACTGTTCCCAGTCAGCAAACATAATATTATGTCCAACATCTTGTGCCCATTAAATCATAGCAGATTTCACCGTTTCATCCTGAGTATTCCATTTCAACAGCAAGTTATACATCTTTGACAAAATCTTAGTTTTGGGTTCTAACAGTTCTGTTTCTAGTTTTGATTTTTCCACCTGGAAGCCAATTTTCTTATCCAAATTGTATGCCTCCATTATCTGATAGTAATGAAGCCAGTCTCGCACTTTGTCTTTTAATTTCTCAAAACTCTGCAATTTCAATTTGTCTCCTTCTTGTTCCAAAATTTCCCAATATTTCGGCCATTTGGCCTCCATATTGAGCCTTTTCTGAGTCTTTGCTTCCATCGGTGACAACTACCTTGGGGTTTTGTTTTCAAGTAAGTCCTTATATCTTATCCAGACATTTAACAATGCTTTCCGGACAATATGGTTTTTAAATGCTTTATGTGCTTTAACCTTGTCATACCACAGATATGCATGCCACCCAAAAACATTATTGAACCTTCTAAATCCAAAATGTCTGTGTTCTCAAGAAGCAGCCATTCTTTCAACCAGCAGAATGCTGCTGATTCATAATAAAATTTGAGGTCTGGCAGGGCAAATCCACCTCTGTCCTTTGCATCAGTTAATATTTTAAATTTTATTCTGGGCTTCTTGCCCTGCCAGACAAATCTAGAAATGTCTCTCTGCCATTTCTTGAAACAGTCCATTTTGTCCAAGATTTGCAATGATTGATTTGATCAATCCTTAAATCTGATCTGGAGGGTTGGGGAAAACCCCAGAAGAGATTTAAGGAGCATGTAAGGGGAAAACATTTCATTGTGCGGGGGTGGGGAGAAGGTGGGAATAATTGCAATGAAGAAATGATGATTCTGCAAGCAACACCTGCTGAAATTGCCTCTTATACTCAGCTATTAAAAGTGTACCTGCAGCCTTTAGAAGCCAGGGAGCTGCTTATGCATTCAAAGATGGAGCCTGGGGTTCAAAATGGAGCCCGAAAAGAGACCCTTGCCAATGGTCAGGCCAGCAGGTCTTCCCACATAAGCCAACCTGGAATGGACTATTTATTTACTATCCTGCCAAAATAATAATAAGAATTAAAGCAGCAGCAGTAGCTCCGCTCTACCCAGCTCTCAAGGACTGCCTATTAGAGGCATCCCACGCCATCTAGGCATATTTGTTTAGAAGCCTTCAATACTTGTATCTCTAATTTATTTCTTTTTCCGCAACATAATCCAGTGTCCTCGATTTCCCCTACACAGAGTGTCTTTTTATCCAATGACATTCCTCTGTTTGATGACTTCCATTTTCAAACACCTGTCCCTCCTGGCTGGTATTTTTGTATAACTCCGTATTAACCCTTTATTGTCAATACTGGATATTAAGAGTGGAAGTTTTGTGAATAAAATCACATTAGGCCCCTCTGAGCCAGCCTGGTGCAGAGGTTAAAGTAAGGACAGGTGGTAACCTCCTGATCTTCTGGACTAGAACTCACATCAGCCCCACCCAGCATAACAGAGCTAGTAGTCCACAACATATTGAGGAGACCACATTAGAGAGTGTTGGACTAGGACAATAGCTGTCAACTTACAGATTTGAAAATAAGGGATCAGCAGCCAAAATAAGGGATTTTAGTCAACCAGCAGCCAAACAAAGCCTCAAGCGGTGGTTCCCACAGCGCAGCAACCCGGCAAAGGGGATGAAGCAAGGAAACCACGTCACATCTCCACTGGGAAGCATTCAGCAAAGGCGAGTCCCCAGACAATGCGGCCGATTTGATCGGCGCAAGGCATGCAAGCTCCACCCCCCCAGTCGTTCTTAGACTCCTTATTGGGTGAGCAACGCAGCCAAGCAACACAGTTGGAGCCTCCCTCCTCCCTGGCCGGCAGGCAGGGAAGGAGAGGAGCTGCTTCCTTTGAAACCCGGGAAATTTAAGGGACATCATCAATAAGGGACAGCAGTGGGACACGGCGCTGGGAAATGGGACTTTTCCGCCAAATAAGGGACGGTTGACAGCTATGACTAGGACAGGGGAGACCAGGGTTGAAATCTTCACCAAGCTGCGAAGATGACTATGATCTTGGGCCTATCACTGTCTCTCAGCCCAACCACAGGGTCCTTCCAAGAATAAATTAGGAGGGTGTGGGACATGTGCAATACCTCAAGCTCTTTATAGGAAAGGTGGGGTGCAAATGTAGCAAACAAATACGACTTCCACGCCCCACTGTTTCCTTTTCAAACAATCTTACAAAATCTCTCAATCTGCAGCTTGGAAAAAGCAATAACCGAGCTGTCGTCATGCTTTTAATATGTTGGGTAATCAGATTCCTCAGCACTGAAGAGATAGGTAGATAGATTGGCCCCATTTATTACTTTTCTTTTGTTTACTTTTGTAAGGTTAAGATCCGTCTGAAGAGCTCTTGTTAAATCTAAGCATGGCTTCAGCATTCATTCATTTGAAGACGAATGGGGGGAAATGTGGATGTTTTCACTCCATAAGTGTTGTTGTTGCATTTCTGCATCATAAAATATGCTGGTAGCCCCTATATTATTTGGAATATACATTTGGTTTACAACTGCCAGAGGGATAGCTATGTTAGCCTGCTGCAGAAAAATCTATAGAGCAGAGCTCCCCAAACTGTGTGCCGTGACCCTTTAGTGCACTGGTTTTCAACCAAGTGGTTTTCAACCAGTGTGTCGTGACACCCTGGGGTGCCTTGAATGATGGTCAGTGGTGCCGTGGGCAACACTGGCCTCTGTCCCTCCTTCCTTCCTTCCCTCCCTCCTCTGATGCCCTCTCGCATCTCTGCCTCCCAAAGGCTTGCAAAGATGTTTGTTGCAGCAGCCCTGGCTACAAGCTTCCCAGGCTGATCAGAGGCTGGCAAGGGTGTGCTTCCCAGGCCCCTGTGGGGCAGTGTGAGGAGGCACCTCTCTTTGCAGTGGGGCAGCTGAGAGACCAGGGGTGGCAGCAGCGGCTGCCCAGAGGACTCCCAAGGAGAGGGGAGAGGAGAGGAGGCTGAGGGAACCCTCCACAAGGGAGGGTGTTTGAAAAAGAGTGAGGGGCTGCCAGCTCTGCAGGCAAGGGGTGACATAACTGGGCTCCTGAGCCCCACAGGGGTGCCGCAGAAATAATGTAGTTGGTCAAGGGAGCCGTGGACCCAAAAATGTTGAAAACCTCTGCTTTAGTGTGTTGGCTGCAGTGTGTAGGTTTGTCGTGCAAACACTCCCTGTGCTCCTCCCAGATCTGGAAAGAGGTTAGTTTAACCTCCAGTTTGCTAGTAAAACTGAATGACTGTGTCGCGAAATGATGCACGTCTAAAAAGTGTGTCACCAACATGAAAAGTTTGGAAAGCTCTGCCATAGAGTGTCTTAGAGGTCAAGGCCTGCCTAAGCCGTTTTGCAACAAGACACACACTCACATGCACGTACACCCTGCTGCTACATCCCACAGTGTTGGGACCCACTATGTGTTGCAGGCTCTGCAGAGATGCTGCCCTAACTCTTGCAAGGCTTTAGCCAAGGTAACTGGCCAAACAGGAGCTCACAGTTCACAGCGAAGGGTGCATGCTCATTCTGGCAGCCCAGCAGGTCCAGGGGCAGGCAGAAGGAAGGATTCACTTCACAGCTGGGGCTGATGGGAGTTGTCCAAAACATCTGGCAGGGGGGAAGAAAGTTAGTGAAGGCTGGTATAGGGCCATGCCTTTACCCTAACCTCAGCTGACCCCAATTTGAATTGCTTTACTCCCAAACAAGTGTTACGACGGCCAGATCTACACCATACATTTAGAGCACATCGAATGTGCTTCTAGAGCTCATGGTGTCCCCCAAAGAACCCTTAGAACTGTGGTTTTCCTCCTCAATCAACTACAGTTCCCAGCATCCTTAGCAAACTACACTTCCCAGGATGCTTTGGGGGCAAGGCATGTGCTTGAAATGCGCATTGAATGTGCTTGAAAGGTATGGTGTACATCTGCCTACTTCTGGCCAGAGAGAAGTTCCAGAGACAGGATCATTGGTTTCAGTTTCGTTCTTAGATGAGATAGTATTGGAGATCACACATACACATGCGCAGGGTGGTATTGTAATATTTGCTTTATTTACAAATATGCAAGCAGAGCAACATCAAGGGCAAACAGGAACTACCTCAGCGGATCCCCAGAGGACAGTTTCTGGTGCTGCTTCTACTCAGAGCTTGCAGCCCCTAGCTCTGGCGAGAAACTCTCCTCTCTTTTCCTCCCCGAATTTCCCATTCAAGTTCCAAAAACAACAGTAGCAGCAACAAAACTATCTCTGATCTTTGACCTATTGATCTATGGAGTGGAAATTACAGCCCATTCAGAAAACATCCCACAGCCTTCAATAAGAAAATCAAGGTGCTTTAGTTTATTAAAAAAATAAATCAAAAAATCCTGACTCCAGTCAGTCAAATGCTTTAAACTCACCTTGCAGCACAAATATTTTGCTGGTTAAAATAATTGTAGGAAACTGCCTTTCGGAACTAATCTCTCCCCCCCCCCCGCCCGTTTTCAAAACACCTGGTAACAGGAAAAGCTCTCCCTGCTGCCCATAAATAAGCCTAGTAATGGTGTGATTCTTTACAAGCCTAACCTACCTCACTTTGAGCTCCTTGGAGGAAAAGTGGGTTATAAATGCAATCAATCATCTACTCAGAAGTAAGCCCCACCGAGTTCAATGGGGCTTGCCCTAGGTCAGAATGTCCAGGCACAAGGTAAAGGTAAAGGGACCCCTGACCATTAAGTCCAGTCGCGGACGACTCTGGGGTTGTGGCGTTCATCTCGCTTTATTGGCCGAGGGAGCCAGTGTACAGCTTCCGGGTCATGTGGCCAGCATGACTAAGCCGCTTCTGGCAAACCAGAGCAGTGCACGGAAACGCCGTTTACCTTCCTGCCGGAGTGGAACTTATTTATCTACTTGCACTTTGACGTGCTTTTGAACTGCTAGGTTGGCAGGAGCTGGGACCGAGCAACGGGAGCTCACCCTATCGCAGGGATTCGAACCGCAACCTTCTGATCGGCAAGTCCTAAGCTCTGCGGTTTAACCCACAGCGCCACCCGTGTCCAATATCCGGGTCTACTTGGTAGTAAACCCTATTGAACCCAACGAACCCCATGCATATTTACTAGGAAGCAGGTCCTACAGTGTGCTCAACTAGGTTTACTCCCAGGTAAGTCTATAAAGCTCTGCAGCTTTGGTGCCTAAAATGTGAGGCGGTGCTTTTTTCCAGAGCTCTGCATTTTTAGTTTTATTTTAAGCTTCAAAAACGTCTTAACTTTCCACTTCAAAGGGTCTTGCTATGCAGAAAGATGGGTTGTGCCTGGGCCTGAACCGCAACGGGAGCTGATATTAAGCAGCGGGGGTGTATTCATCAGGTAAATGGAGGCCAGGAATGAACTCAGGATAGCTCACTAGGTAGAGCTAAGAGCCTCTTAGTCTCAAGGTCGTGGGTTCGAGCCCCACGTTGGGTGAAAGATTCCTGCATTTGGAGCGGGTTGCGCTAGATGACCCCCAGGGTCCCTTTCCAACTCTTGCAATTCCGCGATTGATGGAAGGTTGGACCAGCCCCTCGCTGCCGTCCCCTTCGCTGCAGGGTTGCAGTACCCCCGCGAGGGCGCTAGGTGTCATGCGGTCGAGACCCATTCAAAGGCTCCTCATGCAACTCGGGCACGTGCGAGTTAAAACGGAGGGCCGGCGTTGTCTCTGTAAAGATCGCTGCTTAAACGCTTCCATTTAGAGAGAGAGAGAGAGAGAGAAGGGGGGGCGATCCAGGGCTCTAATCAGCAACGGCCCCCTTTGCAGCGCGCATTTTGCCAGCTCCGGCTCGCCCGCCCCCCGCATGAGCTCACCTCTCCTTGACCCTCCGCCACTCCTCTACTGCGGCGACCGACCAATCAAGCCCTCGCTCCTCGGCCACTTCGCTGAATGCAACCATCTCTGGCCGTGCCTCTATTTCTATGGTAACCCAGCAGAAGAGATGCGGTCGCGCGCATTACAGGGCTGGAATAAGCAATGGGGAGATGGGAAGCCCTTCACTTTAAAAAAACAAAACAAAACAAAAACGTATTTTGGGGTTGTTCTAAGCTGCGCTGTAGAGATAGACGGTTCTCTCCCCGCCCCGCTCAGCTTTATGGATTTCTTTGCAACGAATCTAATGGCTGGTTTTGCCGATGAATGGTGAATTGTGTCAGTAAGGATTGCCTTTAAAAAAAACACACCACACAGAGACACACATTTCCTTTAACAACAACTAGACAGGCAGAAGTTCAGCAGGTGAAGTTCCCTTCCTCCACCCCCACCCTGTGCAAGTTTGCTAATATTATTACTGTATTGTATGACCCTCGGGGTCGCTTCCAATTATGCAATTCTCTGATTTTGTTATGTATTTGTTTATACCCAGCCTTCTTCCCAGTTTACAGATAAAAGAACAACTAAAACATGGGGGGGGGACCCTAATCATTTAAAAACATTTAAGCATTTATAGGATTAAATAGATCATTATATGTTGTATGTATACATACAATCACAACCAAAACAGCACAGCACCAACCCCCTCATTCATAGAATTGTAGTGCTTGTGGTGGTGGTGAATTGTGAACTGAAAAAAAGTACAGTGGTACCTCGGGTTAAGTACTTAATTCGTTCCGGAGGTCCGTACTTAACCTGAAACTGTTCTTAACCTGAAGCACCACTTTAGCTAATGGGGCCTCCTGCTGCCGCCGCGGCACCGGAGCCCGATTTCTGTTCTTATCCTGAAGCAAAGTTCTTAACCTGAAGCACTATTTCTGGCTTAGTGGAGTGTGTAACCTGAAGCATATGTAACCTGAAGCGTATGTAACCCGAGGTACCACTGTACTATGAGCAAGACCCCTAGAGAATCAAACTCAGTGATGACAGCTATTGCCCATCTGTGCTTGTTTTGTGAACTGAAGTACAACCTGTGAATAATTTCTCCTCTGGAAGGCCCACCGAAATGAATGGGAGTTGTACAACAGCAGTACATCATCTGCAGTTGTATACAGACTTACCTGAGAGTATGTCCCATGGGACTACGTTTGAGTAGACGTTAATAGCATTGCCCTGTTTGGCCCTGCTCACACACTTGCTTCTTCATATTCATTCTCCTTTATAGGAGAAGTCTCTGGTGGCACATTATGAAACTATCATGTGATTGCCCCAACATATACCCAACTTGCAACTTAAGCTATATTTAGTCTGCCAACAGTCAGCCCCTATTTGTTCTGCTGACACCGAATCTAATTTTAGAAGTTTTGTGATGGAACAATAAACGTGGATTAAGTAGTATCATGGAGCCGGGATCTGCACATCCAGTTCCACATTAGTAATATTCATCTCTTACTTTCAGTTGTCTTGTACAAAAGTTTTGTGTGGGTGTGTTTGTGTGAGTGGGTAACATTTCCAACTAAACTATTAAAACATTGAATTCATGCACAATCCCGTTTATGAAAATCTAAACTACCATTAATTCATTTGGTTATGGTTATGAATTGCTTCCCATGAGCCATCCCAGAGCAATACAATAAAAACATATATGGAGCAACTGCATGTATAAAGGCCCAATTCTGACATATGAAATGGACCTCCTGATAGGATTGGATTTTTTTAGGATGCCCTCCTGTAGAACACAGTTATCTTCTTCTTCTTCTTCTTCTTCTTCTTCTTCTTCTTCTTCTTCGGCGATCACTCATAGCCAAGTAAGATTGTCTTCCATAAACACAGTTTTAACAATGATTCCATAAGTGACTGTGGAGGCCAGTTCTGGATCCACATGTCCTTCCACAGTGGGGACATTGGTTTCCAGGTGGGAGCTGATCATGGTGTGGATTTGCCAAGTATTCCTTCCTCTTAGCACATTTCTCCCTTGCATCCTGAGTTCGAGTGTCTTCAAAGCCCATGACATCTTTGGTAAAGGCTGTTCTCCAGTTGGAGCGCTCGCAGGCAAGTGTTTCCTGATTGTTGGTGTTTATACTACATTTTTTTAGATTTGCCTTGAAAACAGTCTTTAAACCTCTTTCGTTGACCACCAGCATTACGCTTTCCATTTTTAAGTTCAGAATAGAGTAGTTGCTTTGGAAGACAATAATCAGGCATCCGCACAACATGACCAGTCCAGCGAAGTCGATGTTGAAGAATCATTGCTTCAACACTGGTGATCTTTGCTTCTTCCAGTACACTGGCATTAGTTCGCTGGGTATGAAGGGAATGAGAATCTTTTAGGCATTCTGGTTCCAAGGGATGCAGGGCTTTATGTATCAGTACCAGCTCCTTGAACTTAGCCCAGTAGCCAATTGGCAGCCAATTCTTTCAGCAGCAATATACTGGCAATATTCCACCCCTAGTTAGTAGACTCGCCTTTACATTTTGCACTAGCTGCAGTTTCCAGATCAGCCCAAAGGACAGACCCACCTTGGAAGAATCCAATCTGGAGGTTAGCAGCACATGGACGACAGTGGTTAGTCTATCCTGGTCCAGAAACTGTAGCTAGTAAAAAGGCACTCATAGCCTGGGACTCTAGTGACAGAGATGGATCCAAGGGCCCACCAAAACTATGAACCTTCTCCTTCCAGGGGCGTATGACCCCATCCAAAGCAGGCTATTGACCAATAATCCAGACTTAGGAACCGCTCGCCCCCAGCATCTCCTCCTTGGCAGGACTCAGAGAGTCAATTCCTTGGCTCTCATCCAGCTTACCACTGAAACCAGGCACCAGTCCAGAACTTGCATGGCTTCTCCTGATTTAGATGTTACAGAGAAATGGAGCTCAGTATCATCCGCATACCGATGACAGCTCTCAACAGCTTCATGTAGATGTTAAATCGAAACGGGGACAGGATGGTACCCTGAGGCACCCTGAAGCAGAACTGCTAGGGGAACGAGATATAATCACCCAACGCTGTTCTCTGAAACTGACCCTGAAGGTGGGAACCAAACCATATTAAAACATTGCCCATTTCACGGAGCAGGTTCAGGAAGCTACCATGTCTGATAGAATCAGAAGTCCCTGAGATCAAGTAAAACTAACAAGGTTTTAATCCTCCAGTCCTGCTGATAAGGTCATCCACCAGGGCAACCAAGACTGATTCAGTCCCATAACCAGGTCTGAAACCCAACTGGAATGGGGCAAGATCACCAGTTTCATCCAAGAGTATTTATGACTGTTGTACCACAACCCTCTCAATCACCTTCTCTCGAAAGGGGGAATTGACAACAGAGAGGTAGTTGTCACAAGCCAATTGGTCAGTTTCAGTTTGGGCTTTTTCAGGAGTGGCCATATCACTGCCTCTTTCAAGATGGTGATATTATAACCCCTTTGAAATCTTCCAAACAAACAGTGCCATTGCAATCACAATGACAAAACTCTTAACAACAACAACACAAAAGACTACATGCTTTAAAAAGTATTATTCTCTGTGTGTGTTTTTATACAGATGGACCATTTCTCACCAAAACTTTTCAATTGCATATCTTATCTAATCTTAAAAGTAGTTTTATCATATGTGCCAAGTCTTATAATCTTAACATCTATTCCAACAAAGAGGGCACATATTTTTTGTTTCTACTTGCATCTTTTATATTTCCAATTATAAATAATTTTCTAAGTATTTAAATGTGATTGTATAATTAATTTTTATAATGAAATGTTTTTAGAATGTTGGATTATTTGATTGTTTGATTATTTGATTGCTGTTAGCCGCCCTGAGCCCGGCTTCGGCTGGGGAGGGCGGGATATAAATAAAAATTATTATTATTATTATTATTATTAATGGCGTCCCCACTGTGGTGGCCCATGGGTGCCATGGTGCCTCATGTGATCTTCCTTTGGCACCCACAAAGCCTATGAGACCCCCCTCCCCCACCCTCTACCTCCTTGGTCATGGAAAATTGCATGCAGCTGCAGGAGAAAGTTAGGAGGAGGATGCTCTTTCCCACTTCCTCTTTGAGCTTGGTGTGCTTCTCAAGACTTAAGGATATGTTCACATTAGCAACGTAAAATGCAGCGAGCTTGTTCTGCCAAACCCGTGCATTTCAAGCCACATTCACACAGTGTTGTTCACATCAGAGAGAGGGTGGGGATATCTTCACCCAATATGCAGGACCTTTATGGTTTCGCTGACCATGCACACACCCACACCCCGGACGCTTACTCCAGTGGCGGAGGAAGCCACTTGGGCACCTGGGCACGCTCCCAGGGGCGGGGTGAGCCACCCATAGGGGCAGGGCACACCACGGGGCCTCCAGAGTCTGCCTGCCTCCTCCCAATCAGCTGCCCTACAGCTGGGGGGAGGGAGGCAGTGGGTGGACCATTTGGGCAGCGTGGAGTCTGCGTGCACCCAGGCCACCGCATCTCTCCCAGGAGAGACATGTGGCTTGGGTGCACTGCAGGCCCTGCGGTGAGTGCTGCCTGGCATTTTGTCACCCCTCTCAGTGGTGACACCCAAAGCGACCCGCCCCCACTGCACTCCCTTCCTCCGCCCCTGTCTTACTCATGAAGCTGTTATCTGTGCATGTGGAATGGCTGTCTCGAATGTGTACACCGTTCACAAAGGGAATGTGGCATAATAATATACTACTACTACTACTACTACTAATAATAATAATAATTTATTATTTATACCCCGCCCATCTGGCTGAGTTTCCCCAGCCATTCTGGGCGGCTCCCAATCGAGTGTTAGAAACAATACAGCATTAAATATTAAAAACTTCCCTAAACAGGGCTGCCTTCAGATGTCTTGTAAAGATAAGATAGCTGCTTATTTCCTTCACATCTGGTGGGAGGGTGTTCCACAGGGCGGACGCCACTACCGAGAAGGCCCTCTGTCTGGTTCCCTGTAACCTCACTTCTCTCAATGAGGGAACCACCAGAAGGCCCTTTTCTAGTCAGACTGAAGCTGGTTTGAGGGAAAACACATTAAGCAGCAGTATTTGTCAACGAGTTGCAGGATCTAATACCACGGAAACTAGCGCTAATACACCCAAGAACCTCACCAAAATGCTGGAAAAGCTGCACCTCCATGGGCACATACCTTCACATGTCATGGGAATGCCCCCAACTCTTCTGGACATCAATCATACAATAAATATGCGAAATAACTAAGCAAGTATTAGAAGTCACCCCAGAACTGGCCCTGCTGAACATCTTCCAAGATAATAATGCCCACTCACATCACAAAGAGCTCATAACCCATCTACTTTCAGCAGCCAGAAGCATCACAGCCAGACACTGGAGAGACCTGTCAGGAGTAAGCATAGACCAATGGTACTAAATAGTATGGGAAACAGCCTTACTGTATTAGAAAAACTAGCCAATAAACTGAAACTGACAGGGGGACAAATAGAAGAAGATGCCTTCACCCAGGTATTGTTACCCTTTATCACATACACAGCCCAACAAGACAACAAGAAGAGCCCGCCAACAGCATATGAATCAATCTGGCTAACCTGATCCAAACACACACACACCACTCGCACACAAAAACAAATTTCACTACAGCCAATCAGAGACAACCCTAGGCCACCCCCAATTTCTCTCCTCACCAAAGAAATACAAGCGAATAGTAAAGAGAACCCACAAGCGACGCTGACATAAAACCCCACATGTACACTAAGTAGAAGACTAGAAGTATTGCCACCTGACCCCACCCCACTAACCACTCTTCCTCCATCTCTTTCCCCCTTTCCTTTCTCACCTAACATTGTATGCATATATAAAAAAGGAGCTGCAGGATTGATATGGGTTGTGGCTAAAGTTGTAGGTAAAGGTAAAAGTAAAGGGACCCCTGACGATTAGGTCCAGTCGTGACCGACTCTGGGGTTGCGGCACTCATCTCGCTTTACTGGCCGAGGGAGCCAACGTTTGTCTGCAGATAGTCTTTCCGGGTCGTGTGGCCAGCATGACTAAGCCGCTTCTGGCGAACCAGAATGGAACTAAGCCGCTTCTGGCGAACCAGAATGGAACCAGCATGGAATCTCCGTTTACCTTCCTGCCGGAGTGGTACCTATTTATCTACTTGCACTTTGACATGCTTTCGAACTGCTAGGTTGGCAGGAGCTGGAACCGAGCAACGAGAGCTCACCCCGTCGCGGGGATTCGAACCACCAACCTTCTGATCGGCAAGTCCTAGGCTCTCTAGTTTAACCCACAGCGCCACCAGCGTTGTGTGTATGCAGCTTCAAAAACTAGCAATGGGAGCGCACTGGATCTAGAGTAAGCGGTGATGTGAACATGCCCTCCGATTCATTCTATGGGATCTAACTTTTACACAGTTTCCTTGGGAAAGTGAAGTGTTTGTCTTGGGGTGAGGGTGAGCAGTAGTAACCAGAAGGAGTGGCGACTGCAGAACTTGCTCAAAAATCCAGTCTTAGATCTGCTGCCTTATGGTTCATTTACCTGATTTATTTGATGAACGGGGCTCAGCGGGTTCAGGAAAAGTGCACATATTAAAAAATTATTATATAATGTGCCTGCCCCCCCCCAAATCCCACCATGCAAACCTTTTAATTCCTCTTTGCACCTGTCTAGTAAACTGTTAACAAGAGTATAGAGCTTAGTCACAGTGGCAAGAATTATTGAGAGACAGCTTAAAATGACATGGAAAAGCCTTGTGGCAGAAATACCTTCATTTTCACTTGAATAAATACATAAAACCTGGATGTTAGCTCTTGGACCATTAAGCTGCTTTACTGGTGCATTACCATGTAAATCGGGATGTGTCTCGACTTCATTAGTCATTTGCTTGAGAAAAAAGGAGTAAAAGTGACAGCTTCAAAAATTAAGGAGACTATAGGTAAGTGACACACACAAAAAATCTCTTTGGCTTTTTAAAGACATTTTCTCTTTAAAGAACAAGTATTATATAATTTAGTGTATACCGTATTTTTTGCACCATAACACTCACTGTTTTCCTCCTAGAAAGTAAGGGGAAATGTCTGTGCGTGTTATGGAGGGAATGCCTACGGGTGGCATGCCTACGGATTTTCCTCCTCTAAAAACTACGTGCGTGTTATGGTCGGGTGCGTGTTATAGAGCGAAAAATACGGTACTTCAAAATGTAACTTGTGCATGCAACTAACATAGTTATTTATTTATTTATTGAATTTATATCCTGCTCTTCCTTCCCAAGGAGCCCAGGGTGGCAGATACCTATGCAATTTTAAAACAAAACAAAGACATTCTAAGACTTGTAAAAACAACCTTAGTTAAAAACATTCCAAAAGCGATCACAATTAAAAATCAGCTTCCATCCAATAATCTTGAGGTTGTCAGGAACAGTATTCTTCAGCCACTAAATGCCTGCGTAAACAGGAATGTTTTTAGGTTCCTCCTAAAGATTAATAATGATGCAGGCAGGTGGACCTCACTAGGGAGGGCATTCCACAATCAGGGAACCACCACTGAAAAGGCCCTGACGTGAGCTATTGCCAACTGGGCAGCACTGGGCACCACTAACAAGGCCTCATCTGCCTATTTTGGGGTCTGAGATGGTCCCCCAAATAGCAGCTGTGTATAAACTAGAGTGTGAATGCACATGCGGGGATTGCACAAATGCACATATCTTTCCAAACAACAGGGATTTTTGTACACTACTGGCTTAAATTGGTTTAACGGTCGTTGCTTCTCCTCCAGGAAAACTGCAAAGTGAGTGTGGTAGGAATTTCTTAGTATACTCCCTGAACTACAATTCCCATAATTCTTTGAGAGGAACCAAGGCAGTTACCAGGTATAAAACTGCTAAAAGCTTGTCACACGCAAATATACTCCACGTGTACCCCACACGTGTACACAACTATTCACAGGCTGGATATTCAGGGGCCGGGGAGCTTTAAAATAACCGATAGGGGCACCCATTTCAACAGTGGGATTTCCCCCCCTCTTTTCCCCTGTGTGCCCCCCCAAATCAGCTTCAGGGTGTTGAGAAGTTCAGGAGGCTGGAAGGGGAAACAAGAAACTAGAACTCCCGTTGTGCAATCAGATTTCCCTCCCCACCCCCTCTTTTTACAAACTTTATTTAAGAAAGAAAAAATTCCCCAAGTAGATTTCTGTTGTGCAAGTGGATGGACAGCCCTGGATGTCACCCAAGATAATTCAACATATTAAAGCACATTAAAACAGCAACCAGCCCTGTAAAGATCATAAAACAAATTCAGCATGCTGACTTCAGCGTCTACCTCACCACTGAGGAAGTATGGCAATCTAACAATGGTAGTTTAATCAGCCCTTTGCAATGGGGAACTCACTGAGGCTAAATCCCCGTGACTCTTAGCCATAATTGTGCCAGCTATTTATATTCATGTCTTACCTGTTGGGCGGCTAAGCCAGCCTGGTGAAACACATGTGTGTGTGTCTCATGATTTCTTTTGTTCTTCCCTGTCTGAGTAGCTGGCAATGCCTTTGATCAAGATCATTGGCATGTATTAGGAAAGCACACTCATCTTTTGCCAGGTTCTTCAGTGTTTGCTAAAGGTGATTAATATCTCTATTTTTTTGTGTATCTTAATTCCAGTGAACTACAAAAGGTGAGTGGACCTGAGCTCTTGGCATATGTCGGGCAACGGTTATGTATTAAACTTAGTAATTGCTTGTCACCAAAGAAGGTTTCCAAGCAACTCACACAGAAAAATCTATGAACAAATACAATTTATAATGGGGGGGGGAGAGAATAATATAAACATTAATATACCATACAGCATACATCCAAAGCAGCCCTCCCCCATAACAGCAAAAACAACATTGGCAGCGCAGTAACAAAAACCAAATGTATATTCCCACCCGCTAACCAGCAGAGAAAATAAAATTTGACAGAATAAGTAAGTTTTTGACAATAGTCTAAAGACCGCAAATAGTGGATCACCCGAAATAGGTGACTGCATAGTGGATCACCCAAAACAGGTAGTTTTGCAGTGCAGTTGCTATCACCCCAAACCAACTGTTTCCAGTGGAATATGCCCTCCAGTGGCCCTTGGTCCTCAGCAGCGAATGTGGCCTTTCAGCCAGAAATGGTTCCCCACCTCTGCTATACATGTAGAAGAGGGTGTATCTTGTGACTACTCTTCTACTCTAGCCCTCAGCAGCTAGTTTGGAAGCAAGGCGTTTCCATTAAAGTACAGAGTATCTCCAATTTTCTGCAATTGGTTCTCTCCTACAAGACAATTTCTACTTGGTCCTTGCACAGGGATCTTCTTGCTATGCCTTCTTTCTTGCCTCTCTCCATGCCTCACCCATCCCTTGATGAAACAGATCTTCTCTTGCGTCTTGTTATTAAAAATTCACACTCGCTTTATAGTTTTTCTTTATAGACTCCAAGATCTGAAGTTCTCTCCACTGAGCTCAGCTGCAGCCAAAGTGGATTGCGCTGTCATCCCAACAAAAAAATATAGTTGACCAAGAATTCTGTCTCCACAGTACCGTTGCGTTTTCACGTAGGATAGTTCCTTTTGTCGACTCACTAAAACATATTCTACATCTTACATAGGAACCCATAATTCTTTTGGGGATTATAGGGACAGAACTACCTAAACTGTATGGAAACTTATTTGAGTATGCTACTACAGTGGCAGGAATGTTACTCACCCCAAAATGGAAAGAAGCAGAAGTCCCAGCAAAGGAAGAATGGATACAAAAACTTATGGAATATACAGAAATGGCAAAACTTACCTGAAGAATAAGAAATCAAGATAACAAAGTTTTTATAAATGAATGGAAATGGTTTATTGAATATTGACAGATAAATTGTAAACAGATAAGAGCACTGGCAGGATTTTTCCAATAACCTGCAGTTTTATAAGCGTATATATTTAAAGTAGATTAATAAATGAGCAAAGTGAGTTAATTTGGATATGCAGAAGATGTTAAAAATAAATTTAAGGAACCGCAGAAATAGGGGGAAGGAAGTCAAGTTTTGAAATGTTAAAATGATTGTAAAATTAGTGACATGTATAAACCTGAAAAGCATAAATAAAATTTAGAAACAAACAAACATAGGAACCCAGGAGAGTGCCAGACCTCAGCCAGCTTCCGATTGTGCATGTCAGCTGCCTTCAAGCCTCCTCAACAGGCAGTCCTCAACAAGTGAACATGTCTTCTCACAACCTCTGGTGGACATGCCCAAAGATTAAGGCATTCTGGGAGATGATTTATAATGAAATGAAAACGGTATTTAAATATACCTTCTTAAAGAAACCAGAGGCCTTTCTCTGGTTAGAAAGATGCTGGAAAGAAGTTATATGACTTTGGTAGAAATATTATAAAGAATCAAGTATGAATAGATTGACATTGGGTAAAGAGGTAAATTTAAGTCTAAAAACTGCGTTAAGTTAAATCATGGAACTAAATTTGTGAGAGAGGGAAAGGACTTGCTGGAATATTTAATTGAACTAGAATACAAAAAAGGAGGTGTGAGGAAGTCGAGGAAATAAGCAAATGAAAGATAAGGATATGAAAATATGTGGTTCTTTTGTATGTTTGTTTGTTGTCTTTTGGGTTTTTCTTTTTTTCTTTAAATGCTTTTGGTTTTTTTCTTTTTCTTTTTATATTGTTGATGTTTTGTACTACTGTATTTATTTTTGTTTTTGAGGCTTTGTAATTGTTTATTGCTCATATTTTTCTTTTGTTTTTCTTTTGTTTTTTTGCAATCTTTAAACTTCAATAAATACTTTATAAAAAAAAAAAAGAACATGTCTTCTCACAGCTCTGCAACACCCTATTGCCAGACAATCACTTCCTTCCATTTGCCACTTTGCTTCCACGTGGAAGGTGACCGACCAGTGCTGAATGTCACAGCTGTTGCACACTGTGTTCTTCTAGGGAAGAGAAAATGGAACAAATGTATATATCCATAAGGAATATAAATGAGAAGAGTCTGCTGGATCAAGCGCTGGCCCAGCTAGTCCAGCATCCTGTTCTCATACTGCACACACACACACACACACACAGATGCCCGTAGGAAACCCCACAAGCATGACCCAAGTACAAGAGCTCTTCTTCCTCATGTGGTTTCCAGCAACTGGTATTGAGAAGCATCGCTGCCTCCAACTTTCGGAAATATCACTGCCTCCACACAGGTGCAGTGTGCTTTTGTGAGATCGCAGGCCACCCATAGCCAAACCGCAAGAGCTGGCCAACACACATCCATTTAAGCAAGAAGCATTATCATATGAGGGACGCGGATGGCTCTGTGGGTTAAACCAGAGAGCCTAGGACTTGCTGATCAGAAGGTCGGCAGTTCGAATCCCCGCAACGGGGTGAGCTTCTGTTGCTCGGTCCCTGCTCCTGCCAACCTAGCAGTTCAAAAGCACCTCAAAGTGCAAGTAGATAGATAGGGACCACTCCGGTGGGAGAGTAAACGGCGTTTCCGTGCGCTGCTCTGGTTCGCCAGAAGCGGCTTAGTCATGCTGGCCACATGACCCGGAAGCTGTACGCCGGCTCCCTCGGCCAATAAAGCGAGATGAGCGCCACAACCCCAGAGTCGGCCATGACTGGACCTAATGGTCAGGGGTCCCTTTACCTTTACCTATTACCATATGAACATAAGGAGAACATGCCATTATCTCCATCTAGTTTGGTGTTGCCTACACTGACTGGCAGTGTCTCTTTGGGATTTAAAGAGTGAAGCCATTCTCAATCTTACCAGGCAGTGCCAGGGATTGAACTTGGAACCTTCTGCATGCAAAGCAGATGCTCAAGTACTGAGCTACGGTCTTTGTGAAAGCAAATGGGGCACCTCAAGGAAGTTCTAGCTGCAACTGGCAGCTTTTGGACATTTCTGCATTCCATTGCAGCGTGTCCACTGCAGCACATGCCTTAAACAGCTTTGCCTTACATATGGGACGCAGCCTTTGTCTGCCCTTTTCTGTGACTGCGCAGCTTCCAGTATTTGACAGTGGAAAATATGCACGCGGCTCATTCATGGCCAGTGAGGACACTTAAGGAAACAATAAATCAACAGCATGAAATACCAGTGTTAACAGTGTGCAATCCTATGCATGCTAATTGCGAGGCAAGTTCCATTAGGATTGCTGCTTAAGTGGAGCCACCAAAGCAAATTTCTGACACATGGTGTGTTGTTGTTTTTTGTTTAGTTACAAAACAGAGCGCTGGTTTCGCAAGGTGAGAAGAGCCATGGGGGTAGGATGTGTGGTAATTTGGGGGTTTTGTTTTCTATACTCTAGCTTGATGTGGGCCATTGTGATAGGCTAGGATTAAAAATTAAAGTTAAAATAATTCAAATGGAAGAAAATGGGACCTGGGGTTGGCTGGGATTGGAATCCTGAGCTAGACTGCCAGGGAGACTAACAACACTGAGCAAATGTCCAGTAGTTCCATTTTAGAAATGTAATAGAGATGTTTGGGAATGATGAAAATATGATGGAAAGACTTTCATTGAAATGAAATGGACTACAGCCGTCTAAACGGCCTGGGAAATCTCTCCACCAACAACTTGTATCATGTACACAGGTTTGTTTTATTTTGTTTTAAATCCCCTTCTATGGTCTCTGGTTTATTCTTACATAACTCCTCATGGTTATTTTTACATTTCGAAATCCAACTTGTCTGGTTTTAAATTAGGCTATAAAATTGAACTACTACCAACTTCCCTTCCCACTCAGTCTCAATGTGTTGGCCATATTAATCAGACTAATTGGGAGCAATTGTACCAGATTACTTAGATAAATCATCATGATTACAGAATCTTCACTACGGGAAAACAGAACTCAAAACAGCTCTGAATGATTGCAAGCAGGGGTGTTGCTGATGGGAAAGAACTCTGCAAATGCAAACTGCAGAGCTCAAATAAACAACCTGTTTGTTCTTGCCTTGAATTGTGCCATTGCCAGCCTGTGAGGGCAACGTGACAGTGGAAGAAAGCTATTTCAATGCAATTTCTGGACCTCTCAGCCTAATCTACTTTGCAGGGTTGTTGTAAAGTAGGGCATGGGTGGAAAGAACCAAATCTTGATTTTCTTGTAGGAAAAGCAGGTCGTAAATTTATTCTGTGCTCACTGTAATCTAATTTATTGTGGTTTGAGTTCCGCTGAATTTTCGCCCATCTGGAAAGCTCATTTGTGAAATCATCCCAGATGTCGCTTCAGAATAAAATGAACTGGGTTGAGGAATGAGATGTTAACAGATAAGTACCATTTTACGGGGCAGCCTGGCCAGTGCAAATATACTGACAGATTTTTGAAAGGGAGAGAAGGTGCACAATGTAGCTGTTTTCAGAAGGAACTCAGTGTAAAGCTTTCAATCTCTCCAGTGGCATAGCGTGGGTTGTCAGCACCCGGGGCAAGGCAAGTAATTTGCGCCCCCTAACCCGTGGATTTTAGTAGGGGCAGAGAGCTGCGAGTGCGAGCGCACCCCCCCAGATGTTGCGCCCGGTGTGGCCGGCCCCCCCTGCACCCCCCACGCTATGCCACTGAATTTCTCTCTTCCCCACATGATTCAGGGTCCACTTGTAACCCCAACTTGCTTCTTGAAACACTTAAAAAAAATTGGACTAGATTTGTTTTCCTTAAAAAATATTGCCCACTTTTCCACCTCTACCTCTCTCTCTCTCTCTCTCTCTCTCTCTCTCTCTCTCTCGTGTGTGTGTGCGTGCAAAGGGAAGTATGCAAGGAAGAGGAAGGCCACAAAACCCTGACTATGGGGATTTTCCTTCTGGGTATTAGAGACACCAGAAAAGGAAGAGGAGGTGACAGTCAGCCATAGGGAGCACATTTATGTAGTGGCTCATTCTGCCAGAAATATGCTACACACACACACACACACACACACACACACACACACACACACATATACACACACCTGGATTTCCCCAGGAAAAAGAAGGACCCAGGAGTGTGATGTCATGGTTTGCTTCCTAGAGCTATTGTCAGCTTAATCTCTAAGTATTGCTGTCAACATCCTCTTTCTCTGGGTTCAACAAGGGCTACCCGGTCTGAAGTCCCTCATCCCAGTTCAGCCAGAGATGCATTGGGGTAAGTTAGGGTTGTCATAGTTCAAAAAGTGAAAATCCGGACACCACCTTTTGCAAAATCTCAAGAAAAGAAGGAAGTCGCTGAGCTATTTTGAAGCAAATTCACCAAAATCTTGACTTCTGAAATTTTCATGGACATTCAGGTGATTTCCACCTGAACACCAATGGGTGTTTACCGGCTATGTCCAGAAAATTCCGGACGTATGGCAAGCCTAGGGAAAGTTCCCTATCCCATCTCAACTGAGGGTTAGCTGAAGCTGGCTGACCCAGCACTAAGTCCCAAGAAAGGGGAGGCAGGGCAGGGGCAGAATGACCCCTGTTCTAATCTCCATTCAGCTTGGGCATGTGACCTAGCAACCCAGTGGAAGTTACACTGGCAAAAAGGGTGTGTATGTAAGAACAAACTCTATTTTAAAGGCTCCTCCCCCCTTTCTGGCAGTCTCTGGCTGGCTCCGCCAGCTGTTCCCCCAGTTCTGACCAGAGTTTGGAATAGGGTTAAAGTATGCCTTAAGTTCTGAAGGTTTTCCACCGTTGGGCTTACTCTGCAAGTTTACTCTGAATTTATTAGCTATTTCACTCCGGTCGGCCATGCATACTCTAGCCCACGATGTACTTCCCATGTGTTTGGGGAACCCCCAGTCTTTTCTAGATTCAGAACATTTTTATCTTTCTGCAATTACTGCCACTTTCACTTCTTTCAATGCCAGTGCCATTTTTGGACATTTTTTTTACCCTTGAAGCAGAAATGTGACACCCTGCTGCTCCATTACGGTGTGTGGGGTGTGTGGGGTGGGAAGGCACACAGAGAGGTTGAAGGCAGAAACGTGATGTTCCTTCAGAATCTGCTACACAAAGCAATTGCATTGCATTGCTTCACCATGGTATGACTTGTTCCACTACTTAAGAAATATATCCTGACATCATAGCCTTGGTCCTGGATTCTTGAGGGGACATTTCCATTGAGCCTAACCTTTGTAGCCCTGCAGTATCTTCTCCCATTTGAAAGAGTTGCAGAAGTGCAGACCCCAACATTTCCTGTCCCGACTCTGAAGCTGCAGGATGCATTATGCATTAGCAAAAGAAATCACCTGGTATCTCCTTCCATTGTTTTGGAAGGTGGTTTTTCATTTTATTTAAAAAGGTTACCCTTTGATAACATTTACTGCCAGAATTTGCTGATGATGTAGACTCAGAGGTAGGCAGCTTGGTGTTTGCCAGATGTTTGGGACTACCATTCTAGGGTCCCATCTGTGCTAGACATTTAAAACACTATTTCACCGCTTTAAATAGCCATGGTGAAATATACATGGAGTTGGAAGTGGATTTCATGCTCTTTATTCAGCTCATAGTGGTGAGGAGGAATGGAAGTTCCCCCAGAATGTCTGCTTTATATACATTATTTACACAATGGGCCCCACGTGATTGGCTAATTCCGGGATTCACCTGTAGGCCAATCAGGTTGCGGATTCACTTCCACCTGGAGCTGGATTGGGTGGCTCCTGTGGACCAATCAGACTGCTGCATTCTGAATCCGATTCAACTCAGTACATAACACATGGCTTCTCCCAAAGCATCTTGGGAAAGGTAGTTTGGTGCTGAGTATTGTTAAGAGACCCCTCTTCCCTTCTCAGAGCTTCAATTCTCAAGAGTGGTTTTACAGCCAAGCCATCTTCCCAAGGCACTCTGAGAACTGAAGGAGGAGGTCTCCTCACAATGCTCACCACCCTTAACAAATTGCACTTCCCAGGATTCTCGTGGGGCCAGGGAGCCCTGACTATTCAAAGTGGCATGATACTGCTTTAAATGTACAGTGCAAATGGACCTTGGAGATGCAGATGGAAGACTATCTCAGAGCCTGTTCCAGCATCTGTGTACAGGGCCCTCCAGCATCAACTGCCCCATGGGAAAGGTGTTCCTTAGGATGGGAAGAGAGAGGACAGGCAAAGACCTCCTTAGAGCCGCTGCCAGCTGAACTTTCTCCTTCCCTGTGCCATATATACCACCAACTGCCCTGTGAGAAGGACTCAGAGAAAGAGAGGCAAGCAAAGACCCCTTCAGAGCCTTAATTACCCCCACCCGATTGGTTTTGTCTTTCTTGTAAGCCACCTTGGAAGGATTTGTATTGTTGAAATGCAGGATATAAATGATTGTAATAGATAAATAAGCCCCATCAGCACGGGCAATGATCAGAAGGATGGGAGTTGTAGTCCAAAAATATCTAGAAGGCACCATGTTGGCTTACTTGTGTTGCAAGGTACAGTGGTACCTCGGGTTAAGTACTTAATTCGTTCTGGAGGTCCGTTCTTAACCTGAAACTGTTCTTAACCTGAAGCACCACTTTAGCTAATGGGGCCTCCTGCTGCTGCCGCGCCGCCAGAGAACAATTTCTGTTCTCATCCTGAAGCAAAGTTCTTAACCCGAGGTACTATTTCTGGGTTAGCGGAGTCTGTAACCTGAAGTGTATGTAACCTGAAGCGTATGTAACCTGAGGTACCACTGTATTGGGATCTGCCTTTCAGCTGCTCTTGCCTGTTGCATTTGCTTTTAATAGGTTCTTAACTGGTTTTAGATGGCATACTCTATTATCAGGCTAAGCTACCTTGAGTGATTTGTTTTTCTTTTCTGAAATAAAACAAATGATCAATAATGCACTGAATGGATCTCTACCCACCCAGTGGTTATGATAGATGCAAGCGAGCTGCTTATTTTATAAGCCTCTTGCGTTTCTGTGGGTGAACTCTCAGTTATTCAGCTAGCTCTGTGGCTGATGAGTCATTCCTCGCCCTTGAATCATTTCTGATGGATGTGAAACACCTCCCTCTGAATTGCTACCTTGATGAGACATTTGCATGACCAGTTTCATGAGAGAATCGGAGCAGTCTCATGATTTACCATTCATGTGCTCCGGCTGATCTGGAGACATGTGTCTAATTTCTCCCAATGTCTTCCTGTGTTGAGTGGCATTCTGCAGCTGACTGGAAGAAGCAAAATGCCAGGAACTCTGTTGTCATATGTGGCTAGGGTGCAAGCAAGCAATTAAACCATAGGACATTAAAGTCTCACCAGGGTATCTCTCGGCTTCATCCCATGACAGTCACTAGGCAGACATGAGGTGGTTGATAGACTGTGAACATTTCAGGACTAGGAAAGATTCCTTTCCTTATTTTTACTGGCCTTTCAATTATCTTACACTCAGAGCAGTGCTGGGTCTGCTGTTCTTTATTTGGTTCTTTCAATATTTATTTCATTTGCCTTGCCATGTGGGTAATTTGCCACTTGCATTACGTTAGTCAGAAAACTCAATAAAAGTATGTTGTTTTTTAAGTGGGTGTAAGCATTCAGTAGGTTTATTAGGACAAGCCCAGATAATTGGGGCGCGTCTCCAAAAAAATACAGGGCATGGATTATCTGTTATAACACACATCACTGTGACGTCTGTCTGATGGTAGTAGACACTGTTGCTAAATGACACCGCCTATGGATTTGGGTGAGAGAGGTGGTGCACTCAACTAATTCTGGGACGTACATGTGACAAAACTTTCAGCATCCTTCTCCATTTTGGCTTTATCCAATACTGAGGATATAATGACGTACCTATTTGGGAAGCAAGCTCCAGATGTCCAGTGGCTCCTAAGAGTTCATCCATATTTGTGGACTGCTCTTGGTTTTCATTCCACAGTGGTATCCAGGCAACAGGTTTGTTGACCTAACCTGGGTGGTAAAGGATGGAGTGCTTAGTAAACAGTATCTTAAGTACTGACCTGCAGACAGCATAATGACTTGGGCTGTGATTGGTTATCTAGCCAAATATAGCCAGCATAGACAGTGTGATGCAGTGGTTAGGGTATTGGGCTGGGACCTGAGGAATCAGGGTTGAAATCTCCACTTAGCCATGAAGTTCAATCCATGAAGCTCACTGAGTGATTTGAGGCCAGCCTAACCTGCCTCCCAGGGTTGTCGTGAGAATGAAATGTGACAGTGGAAAGCCATACATACCACCTTGAGCTCTTGGGAGGAAAGACATGCCATGATAAAATAAATATCTAGACAAGAAATAGGAGTGGGTCCAACCTGCATCTACAGTTCATTTCCAACATGGCCTTCACCATTAATACTGGCATTTGTCTATTCTTACTGGTTTTCCCAAGTAAGCAAGGCAATACTGGTATTCTAAAGCAATGTCCTCTGCAGTTTACATGTGCCCTGATCTCCAGTAAAAATCCCCAAATGATACTTCAGTGAACACATGTGTAAGATACAGGTTTACATATGGATGTGTATTAGACACATGAGTGGATTACAAGAGCTATCCATTGACTTCTTAAAGCAGGGGTCAGCAAACCTTTTCAGCAGGGGGCCGGTCCACTGTCCCTCAGACCTTGTGGGGGGTCAGACTATATTTTTTTTGGGGGGGGGAAAATAATAAACCAACTCCTATGTTCCACAAATAACCCAGAGATGCATTTTAAATAAAAGCACACATTCTACTCATGTAAAAACAAACTGATTCCAGGACTATCCACGGGCCAGATTTAGAAGGCGATTGGGCCGGATCTGGCCCCTGGGCCTTAGTTTGCCTACCCATGTCTTAAAGTGTTCTAAAACAACCCAAATCACACATTCAATGACCACTCACATTGGCACCACTTGTAAGCAAATGGTGCTAAGGTTTCTGTGTAAATCGGTTCACCATGAAGTTGCAATGCCCTGTTTTCAGGCATTTCTGATAGCATTCCTAAAATATCTGCAGCTACAGCGAGGACCTGTTTCTGACAAATACCTTATTGCATGGAGTTGCTGTACATGCAGCTACCTTGCTGCCACCTTTCAGAATAAAGGAGAGAAGTTGTGAGATGCTTTGGTTGGAAGCCCTCAACCACATATCTGTTACACAGAGAGTTAAAATATGCATCCTCCTGACTCACAGCTAGCTTTGAACCACCAGAAGTGCTTGCTCAGCAACTCCATGTAGATGGATTGCCACAGAGTATTTCAGCGCTTGCTGCATCTAACAGTGATATGGCATCTGTGCTTCCTTAAAAGGAAGAAGAATTTGCACGAAGTGAAGCTCCCAGTGGAGCTCTTGACAGGTTTGCCCTCCTCAGAAGTGACACAATCTCTGCCCATTGCAAAGGATGGGCTTCTTTGCACGTATCAACTAATGTCATGTTAACTATTAAGCAACTCGCAGCCGTTTTGGGTTAGGCTGTAGGACACCGCCTCAAGAGGCAGTCTTCTGTCACATAACGTACATGGGGAAGGGCCATGGCCTGGCATGTTCCATATGCAGAAAGACCCAGGTTCAATCTCTCTAGGCAGGGCAGGGAGAGACCCATCCCTGAGACCCTGGAGAGCAGCTGCCAGACAGTGTCAGCAATACTGAGCTGGATGGTCCAATAGTCAGACTCAGTATATGGCAGCACCCTATCTTCCTATGGCTTTTTAGTGGTTCCAGACTTCCCATGAGGGTTGGTTCCCAAAGCTGTTGCTCAGGGATTTCTGCTCAAGATCTTCATTTTCTTTTTAAGCTTTCTTCATTGCTTCCACCACCAACAGAAGTACAGTAGGTGAGGCAAGGAGACCTTTTTGGGTAACTTATGGAAGAGCTTTTGTTTTATTCCAGCAAGGTAATAGAGCTTGCAATGATAAATGTTATTTCCTGTTTGTTGACATGCTTTTATGATGTGGTTTGATTTTTGTTTTATTGTTAGGATTGTATTTTATAAATGTTATAAATCTATATCCATCTGTGTGTGTGTGTGTGTGTGTGTGTGTGTGTGTGTGTGCTTTGAATCTTCTTATGCCTGCAGACAAGAAATGAAAGCAATATTCTGTCCTTGCATCCGAATGTAATGGCAAACCTTGGTTTGCTGCTCACCAGGAAGTCAGTTGTGGAACTGGAGCATATGAGGGAGAAGAAAGACAGGGGTGCACAAGCATAAATAGCCAAACCATGGTTTGCCACTACATGCGAACCAAGCCCAAGTGTCTTGGAAGCATTCACTTGCGATACACACCATGTTCACTGAAATCAACTCATGCAAGTACATGATGCACCAAATCCTGTCGAAAAGCTTGCATATCAAAGAACGTTCTATACTTGATGTATTCCATGAATACAATACAGTGGTACCTCTCGTTGCGTACTTAATTCGTTCCGGAGGTCTGTTCTTAACCTGAAACTGTTCTTAACCTGAAGCACCACTTTAGCTAATGGGGCCTCCCGTTGCTGCCGTGCCGCCACTGTGAAATTTCTGTTCTCATCCTGAAGCAAAGTTCTTAACCCGAGGTACTATTTCTGGGTTAGCGGAGTCTGTAACCTGAAGCAAATGTAACCTGAAGCGTATGTAACCCGAGGTACCACTGTAAATGTATAAAGAAAAGCTGTCAGCACTCTGAACAGAATGAACATGCCTTAGAACTGCACCTGGGATATGAAGAGTTTGACCAGGCAACAGGTGTCTCTGTGGCAAAGGATTGTTATCTCTCTTCCATGAATTTTGAAGGAGCTGCAGAACAAGAGACTTTGAGCTATGCCTTAAGAAGTCCTTCGAATCTGTTTTTTACATAGGAGTCAAGCCAAGTAAACAAAATGATTAGTGTTATTGCATGACAGCTTACTGAAAATAGACAAATATTGTGCAGAAATCAAAGGCAAATTCCACAAGGGCACCTTTACAATCCAAACAATGCACAGGAACGTGTCACTGAGACTTACTGGCTTGACCATGGATCAAAGAGTTCGTGTTGCAATCGGGCTGAAAGGGGTTGCAACATTCACCACCTCTATTTCAGCAAGTCAAAATGGGCACAGTCCCACATGAGAACCACCTTACCTTCCTTCACATCAACTTGATATTTCTTGTTTTAACCCCACCAAGTCAGAAGGAACACCAAGGATATGAAGAGAGGAACTGAGACTGCGACCTGATGCAGACTTACCTGGGGTAATCCCTTTTGAACACAACATAACTGGACTTCTGAGTAAGCAAGCACAAGATTGCAGCGTGAAGGGATCAAAGAGTTCCTCGATCCCTTTGATGGCAGCGTGAAGACAATACAATCTCTTCTCGATCAGTTCTAGAATAATTGCACCAGCTGCAGTCAAGGACTCCCTCCTGAATGGCAAACAAATTGTTAGGATGCACTGATCACTGAATCATTTTAGTGGATTGGAATAACCCACCACGACACAGAAGGGGCTGGTTGTGTTTTCAGAAGCATGAAAATAAAGAAACTGTTAATTAAAATTCCTCCAAATGAAGCTGGAAATAGAGTGGGAAGAATCCTCCAAACTAGGGGTGGGGAACTTCTGACCCACAAGCCAAATTTGGCCCAAAAAGCTTCACCCATTTGGCCCACCAAGCCCTTTCCACCAAAGCATGCCCAATGGTATCACACCTTTTGCCATATGCGGGGGCAGGTATGCAGCAGGTAAGGATATGACTCCACAGGAACAACCAGGAGGTTAGAGTGAGCTCCTAGTCATTCCCCTGCAAGCAGGTTTCACTTCCAGAGCAAATCAACTGATTGGTGCTGACAGAGAGCCCCACTGGGATCACCTGCACTGGGGAGTTTCAGTCTAAAAGGTCTAAAATACTCAGAATAAATAAATTATATAATGTCTAGGGGGGCCAGCTAAATTATGGCAAGACTCAATATTTTATGTTGAGTCTGGAAAGCAAGAAAGCAGAGATGAGACATTCAAGCGGATTATTCTAAGTACTACAAAACTTAAATAACTGGCTTCTACTTGATTTCCTCTTCCCTCTTTATCACCTTTTCCTTATAGACCATTTCTGTGGGGTGGAGATATCTTGTTTTAAATCTGTGTACCACACTTATTAAATGCTAACCACTGTATAAAGTATTATTGTGAAAACTATTATTAATAATAAAACTGGTTGACAGGAATAGTCAATAAGTGTTCTGTATAAGATTATATATGTAGTGGTACCTCTGGTTAAGTACTTAATTCGTTCCGGAGGTCCGTACTTAACCTGAAACTGTTCTTAACCTGAAGCACCACTTTAGCTAATGGGGCCTCCTGCTGCCGCCACGCTACCAGAGCACAATTTCTGTTCTCATCCTGAAGCAAAGTTCTTAACCTGAAGCACTATTTCTGGGTTAGCGGAGTGTGTAACCTGAAGTGTATGTAACCTGAAGCGTATGTAACCTGAAGCGTATATAACCCAAGGTACCACTGTATATAAATATATATTTGAGGGGCTGATTTAGGTGAAATAAGGAACTGTATCAAGAGAAGAGCTTGACACTAATTGATATTTCAAGTCAAATAAAAAGTGGTCAGTCTTGATCACTGAAGATAGCAGAATGCTAGGGCAACGTCTCAGTGTTGGACCCTTATCACGATCCAGTTCTTTGTGTATTTCATTTGGCACTTGGGTTATTTTAAAATATCACTGTGCAATGGAATATGTTAATAGTTTGAATTTAGAGGCACTCCCTTACAGGATGTTCCACTAAGGAGATAGGAATTGCAAGAAAAATGCTAATCTGATATCGAAAATTGTTGAGCCAATTTCAGAGATGAAGCCTTTTATCTCTTTTTTTTAAAGTTATTAATTTCTCACTCATGAGTGCTTGGACTTGGGAAACCACGGCAGATTCCGCTTTGAATATCTCCTCTTCCAAATTAGCTTTACTCTCAGATGAAATCATGATTTAGAAATCTCTCAGGTCCACGATGCTGCTGATGAGAAGAGCCTTGATCTAATGTAGGTACTTAAATAATCACATTTTTCTTATTTCTTATTCTAACATGACAGTCTACATAAATGCGCCCAGGTAAGTGCTCTGTCACTAAGCAGTACTAAGCATTAGTACTGCTGGATGAAGGCAAATAATTAGAAAACGAAATTAAAGGGACATATCACATTACCTGCACAATTTCTTTCTAAAATCTACTTTGGGACATTTTCATGACCTGCTCCATCTTGATGTCCAAGACAATATTTATTTATTTTTCTCCTTGTGGAAAGGTACAAGGCAAGGAGGGTGGGGAAATGAGGAGGACGGCTGTGAAGGAAGCTTTGTGCAAATAGAATCTGTGATGTAGATCCAAGAAGTGACTTTTCCGCATTGGAAAGGTCCAATTCCTTTTTGAGATGAGCACAAGGCTGCACCCCATTCCCAGGAAGCAGGAACGGCAGTTACTTCAACGTGTGAAGCAACTTGTGAACATGAGGCAGACTGAGGCAGCCACCTCAGGTGGCGGAATCTCAAGAGGCAACACCCCACCCCCACCCCATGGGCTGCTTCTCCACCCCTGCCACTGCTGCCAGAGAAGTGAGAAGAAGAACCTGCAGCATCTTCCGGCGAGGTCTCGCGAGATCTTGAGGTCCCATGAGATCTTAACACTGCCATCACTTCTCACTTCTCCCTGGGGGTGGGCACACACTCCAGCTGACACCACCAGAGAAGCAAGGAGCAGTGACTGTGGCTTCTTGGTTCCAGTGAAATCTCACAGACTTCTCACAAGATCTCACCATAACCCAGAAGCTGCAGGTGAAGCCACACAACCCTGGTATATGAGAGGCTTTGGCCTCAGGTGGCAAAATGGGATGGGGCATCCCTGTTGTGAAGATATCCCCTAAGGCCAGGGGTAGGGATTCTGTGGTCTCCCAGATTTCCTGGAATACAAACTCCCACCATCCCTTAATCCTTGTTTCTGCTGTCTGGGGCCAATGGGACTTGGAGTCCAGCAATATTTGGAGGACCACATGTTCCCCACCCCTGCCTTAGGCGAAGACAGGGGTAGCCAATGTGATGCTCTCCAGATGTTGCAAACGACAACTCCTAACATCCCTGACTATTGGCCATGCTGGCTGGTCTTGTTGGGAGTTGAAGTTCATATCAGGATGGCACCATATTGACTATAAGAGAAGAGTGATTTGTCCAAGGCCATGAATAGCTAAGGTGGGAATAAACCCAGCTCCATGGTTTCTCTAGCTGACGGGACTATGTTGGCTCCAAGTAGTTAAGAATATTAAATCTGAGATCACCGTGGCTATTACTGCAGCCAGATCACTAGTAGGCGATTAAAACAAAACATATTTTGAAAGGAAAAAGAAACCACTATGATATCTGCTTTCCTAAGAAGGAGTGATGTTTGAAGATGTCCGCCCTTTGATTTCATTTCTCAGACGTGTGTCCCTGCAGGTACCCTCATTCTATCAAACGAGTGTTATTACTTACATGAATATGGGCTGTGGGTCCCTGCCTTTTGGAATCCCTGCTTAAAAGAGAACTGGCTGCTTTTATATGTGCAGCTGTGATTTCATCTATAGGCTTTGTGCAACATAAATATATAGCATTTTCCTTTAATAGACTCCAGAAATCCCTGTTGCCAGCAGTAAATTTTCAGGCCGAGATAACACATTTAGGGGGGAAATGCTTAGCTTGTATTTATTTCAGATGCTTAGGATTTTCTCTCTGGTCGTGTTATCTTTTAGTGACTTTCCCAGAGTTGTGTGCAAGCGAACTTTATTTGTTGCTGTCAGAGACACAAAGCCCTTAAGCAATCATAAATGTTGAGTCTAAGAGCGATGATCATTCAGACGTTTTCTCACATTACAGCTGCTGCCAACTGCTGATGTAGAGGGGAAAAAATGAAGCACATTAAGCACCTAAGAATTAAAAATAAATTATGTATAACATAGGCCAGGCGCTCATATAAAAAGCATTATTAATGCCTGTGTTGTGTGCAACAGTTCAGCTCCAATCATGTTTTATTATGATAGTCTCAGTATGTTTTGTACTCAGTTTCAAGACACCTGGAAATAAAATGGCTTCGGTTCTGAATGAGCTAATACAGTATATCCCCAGAAGAACAATCGTTTACCATGCAGCCAATTTTGTTTTTATTTTGTTTTTACCCAGCACTTGCTTGCTTCCTCTATTTTTTTTGTTATCCCTAAATAATAATAAAAAATAAAAAATGAATGTTTCATTTCTCTCTCCTCCTCCGTCTCAAAGGACCTGATCTGTAAAGCAGTAAAGCCCATGGAAGCAAAACTCATGGACAGGTTCCTACTGGGAAAACCTGCATGCTTTGTTGCTACAATGGAAATAGCTGACTCCTCCCTTCCGTGCAAGGCAGCTGTATCCTGCATACTCTATAAAATAATTGTGCATTCTTCAGGGCTGGAACAAGCCCATCAGATGATTCCCATTGAGATGCTAAGTTCAGAGTAGTTGGATTACCTTTGCAATCAAATGAAGAAATAAATACAAACAATACAAATTCAAGTATTAGTATTAGTACAGTGGTACCTCAGGTTACATACGCTTCAGGTTACAGACTCCGCTAACCCAGAAATAGTGCTTCAGGTTAAGGACTTTGCTTCAGGATAAGAACAGAAATCGGGCTCCGGCAGGGCGGCAGCAGCAGGAGGCCCCATTAGCTAAAGTGGTGCTTCAGGTTAAGAACAGTTTCAGGTTAAGAACAGACCTCCGGAACGAATTAAGTACTTAACCCAAGGTACCACTGTATTATTATTAAGCAGCAAAGGGCAGAGCACTATCAAGAACTGTATTCATGATGAAACATGGTATCCAACCCAGCAACTGACAGCATCCAGATGTTTGGAAGAGCTGGGTGTCCCTCCCTCCCTTGACAAGCTGAAGAACATCATCAACTCCCAGGGACATGGGAAAGCTGCAGGACAGGGTGGAATCCCAACAGAAGTGCTAAAAGCCAGCCTCAATCCCTCATGACACACCGCCATGGCCTCCTCTTGCAGTGTTGGGGAAAAGGATTCGTGCCACAAGATCTGTGTGACTCCAGCATTGTGACCCCTTATAACAGGCACGTCCAACTCCCAAGAGATTGGGATCTACTCACACTATTTAAAAAACTGGCAGTGATCTACACATTGGTCATTAGAGGATAGACCAGAGTTGTTGAGAATATTTTTTAGGGAGCAAGAGTTGTTGAGCTATAAGGACAAAGGTGATTGTAACAACTACCATGGTGGAATCTCCCTTCTGAGTACTGTGGGATTACAGTTACTTGCTGACAGGGTCTATCCCAAGTCACAATGTGGCTTTCGAGCTGAAAGGTCAACAGCTGACATGATTTTCTCACTGTTCCAGTGCAGGAGAAATACCGAGAGCATCGCCTTCATAGACCTGATGAAGGACTTTGACCTTGTCAGCTGAAAAGGACTCTTCACGTTGCTCAACGAGATAGGATGCCCTCCTCCTCTGACTAATGCATTTAACAAACCATAGACTATTATAATTCTAAGGGATAACCAATGTGAGGTAAGGCATAGAATCATAGAATTGTAGAGCTGGACAGGTCACCTCGTCCAACCTTCCTGCAATGTTGGAATCTCAACTAAAACTCAACTAAACTATCCATGACAGATAAACTGAACTGCAAAGATAGAAACCTGTTTGAGTTTCCTACAAAAGTTAGTAAGGTAAATGTTCAAGCCTACCACTGATGGTGTAGCAGTGTAAGTACAGTAGACTATGTACTGTTCATCCTATTTTGGGGCCTCAGTAAACATTACATATTGCCAAAATGAACTTTCTTCCAAGTGATCTATCACTTTCTCTGAAATTTTAATTGGAATATGTGTTTTATGTAATAGGTAAGACTTATGTGTCAAGTGACTAATAAAATCACCATCATTGACCTTGCGCAGGTAGCCCATAAATTTGTTTACAGACAAACTCAGAGTTTAGAATAGTGGTTTTCAAGCTTTCTCTCTTCCAGAAAACCTTTTCATAGTAACTATAAGATTAGGGTTAGGACAGGAGAAGGCCAATGGGGCCCGGTGAATGGCAACTAACGTTCTTTGATAGTCTGTGGCAAACCTCTAACAGTAGCTAGAGAACCCACCAATTTCCAACACAGTCTCTTCCACTGTCCAACAGCTAGTATCCTGAGGACATTAGCCTTAATGTTTAGCCTAAATACTTTCTCTTGTAATTTAAGCTGAGTGATCCAGGTCTTGTCTTCTGGGTCCTATCCTCTGCTGGAAATTTCTTCCTCATCCCTTATGCCTAATGAGACTAAAGCTTCTTAGTTTGGAACCTGGGGTTTGACTGCATGCTTTTGACCACCAATTATTTCTCCCCTCGTATGCCAGATTGCTTGTGACACACTTTTACAGTACTGGCAAAGGAAAAACTGACTGAATTCATCCAGCACTGAATGGGGAGTTAGCTGGTAGTTGTGCCCTCAAACTTTCAAATCTTGGAGTTGCCCTCATTCAGGTTCTGGGGTTGAACTGAGGCATGGTGACAAAGAAGAAATATTATTGCTGGTCTAATCTGCAGGAGAGCTGGGAACTTCTTCACACTCAGGTCAATGGGTTGCAATCAGACAGGTCGTATGTATGTTGCGAAAGGTGTGATATAATCTCCCTGTAGGTTTGTCCACAGTACAATCTGATCACATAACACAATCATGACACAATATGCAGACTAGAGCCAGATGGGTAGAGAGACAAACTACCCTAGAAGGAGCATGAGAGGTACTGCCCCTCCCTTAACATCCCACACACTCCAATTGCCAATGTACAAATGATTCCCCTCCACCCCCCAGCTTCTTGAGGCCCCACTGAGTATAAATCAAGTTATAATTGTTTTAAAGGCCCATGGTTTCAGTCATAAAGAAAAGGAAGTGGTTTTCAACAGTTGTGCCTGACAGAAAGCTACCCCACATTTTAAATGTTACATCTTTCTCTGAGTTGTGTGCAGGGCCGGCGCAAAGGAATAGGCGGCCTGAGGCAAGCAGCAGGAGCCACCCCCAACTCTTCTTTTCCTCTTCCTGTTGCTGCTGTCGTCTCCCCTTCTCCTAGCTCCGCTTATATGTATTTTATTTCATTGCTGCATTAGTGGCAGGAGCAGAAACTAGTTCTCCTCCTCCTTTCCCTTCCTCTCTCTTATTCTGAAAAAAAACCCCAGCTCCAGTCTTGTGCACCACAGGGGCCTGACTGGGCCTCTTTCTGGGGAATACACTTGTTTGGGATCCACTGGGTCCCTGTCCATCCCACCCTAAAATGCCCCATTGTGGGTTCTCATGACAGACACATGAAACACAGTTTAAGGTAGTGTGCATAGGGAGCTCTGAGAAATGCAATCTTCCCAGAGTGATCAGCTTCCCCCTCCTACTTAGTCACAGTCTTGTCCTCTTGAACTCAGCAGGGAGGTGGATGGGAACAGATCTAGCATTAGATGGCTTTGCCTGTCATTGGCTCCTGTGCCACCTACATTTGCTCTCCCTTCTTTCTGCCCTACCTGTCCCAGTGGGCACCACCCACCACTGGAAGCCTCTGTCCTTTTGCATGACTGCAGTGTGGCCTGTACAATGGTTAGAGCAGCATCCTTTGCCTCACCTGCTAGTATGAATATTTTCCACTGGGAAATTCAACCCCCAGACTGAAAAATATTCCCCATCCAGGAAACAGGACTCCCCCTGCTTACCTTTCCCTGTCCTATATATTATGTTTCAGTGCATGATTCTAAGTAGGAACAAACGAGTTTTGTCTACTATCAAATTAAACATACTGCTACTGCCTTGGGTCAAACCTACACAGCAGCTGAACAGGAAAGTCACTTTCTTAAAAAGAAAAAGAAAAAAAAAGAGAGAGATCTGGTTTCATCATTCTGCCTTTAGCTACAAATGCCAATTTGGTGTGTTTGAACAGAATGAGTCAGTGATTGCCAGAAAGCCTCTTTGCTGTTGGAGACAGGACAGGCACTAGCAGAAAATGTGCTCAGACTACATTCCCTCAAGCTTGAACCATTAGATTGACAAACACCGGAGGACTTCGGGCAAGGGAATGCGTAGAATGACCTTTGTCAACCTGGTGCCAATCTCAACGCTTTGGCCCACTGCACTTATTGGCCCCAGTAAGCAATGTCGAAAGTCAGGAATGAGGGGAGATGTAGCCCAAAACCTCTGGAAGACCCCCGGTTTGGTTGAGGAGGGCCTGCAACTATAGTTTTGTAACCCTGGGGTTCTACTTATCAACATGAGCCAAAATGGCTCTAGGCTGAACTGGAAGTGACCTCTGTGGCAATTTTGTTTCAAGAAAGACTGCTGGGAATTCAGCTTGTAGCATCTAACCCATTTCCAAAAATATATTTTTAGTTATTTACACGTAAAGTTTGATCATGCTTTCCCAAAAGAATTCACACAACAATAAAAAAGCGCAGCACACATCTAAGCTCAAACCTACCTGTATTGACTTGAGTGCTTCTCTTGCCCTATGCTAGGGCAAGTATTATTTCCTTAACAGATTCATCAGTATGCTGTAAGACCCTGCAGAATCAGACGAAAGGCCTATGTCAGCCTTCGTTCAAACATCTTGAAGGCAGCAGGTTGGCATGGGCTGACCCAGTAGAGGGTGTTGTTGTATGTGCCACTCACCTGACCTTCGACCTACTCCATCACGGCAGTATACTGAGATGGAGAGAGAGGGGCTGGCATGGTGCAAACACGCTGGTGGAGCCAATCTGGTGCTCTTGCTGCCATGTTAGCACTGCACCAATCTTTCCAACACCACATCTACTCTCTGTATGCTGTAGTGACTCTGCTGGATGGAGGTCAGGAGAAAGGCACAGCCACGCCATGCCTCCAGCTACTAGGCTGGCCTGGGTAGTCCAGCCTCCTGTTTTCTACACTGGCTGACCAGATACCTCTGGAAATCTCACCAGAAGGACATGGAGGTAACCACACATTCCAGTTTGTCATTCCCAACAACTGGTATTCAGAAGCATGCTGTCTCTGATGCTGGAGATAACATGGGGCCATAATGACCAGTAGCCGTTGATAACACTATCCTGCACGTATTCAATGCCAACTCTCGAATCCTAATCATGAAGAGGGTTTTTGTTTTGTTTTGTTTTGTTTTGTTTTGTTTTGTTTTGTTTTGTTTTGTTTTAAGCCCTCAAATACTGCCATTGTACAGAACGGGAAAGGAATGTGAGTTCAATCAGGATTTGGTTCTTTTGAGATTTGTATCCAAATAGCTCCTTTGCAAAAAGCCAGAGTCTGAAGTCAGCACAGCACAGCCTTGGGAAAGATTAACAGGCATGATCATTAAGTGGCCTTATCTTTTCATGCCTTGGGCTTGTAAATCTATATTGCTAAGATCCCGAAGGAGAGAAAGCGACACATCAATGATATTCCCCCTCCTGAGGTCAGAGGAAGTGAGGAGTGATAAAAGTGTCTAGAAGTTATATAGCTGGGATGGGTACTTCGTGGCCCTCCAGAAGTCATTGGACTACAAAGTCCATCATGCCAGACCCTTGGCCTTGCTGGCTGGGGGCCAGAGGAGCTGACTTCTGATTACATCTGAGAGCCACGGAATACCCAAACTGGCTGTAAGGGATTCTGCAACATTAATATCCTTTCAAGTCCATTGGAATTAATGTGATTTTAATTTGCATAGTTAGCCGCTTTTGCTGTAAAAGCTTCCCCTCTCAGGAAAATATTTGGGAAGAGTCTGGTTTCTGAGGCGCTTATCCTGATGGGTAATTTTCTCATTACAGTGGTACCTCGGGTTACATACGCTTCAGGTTACATATGCTTCAGGTTACAGACTCCACTAACCCAGAAATATTACCTTGGGGTAAGAACTTTGCTTCAGGATGAGAACAGAAATCGTGTGGCGGCAGTGGGAGGCCCCATTAGCTAAAGTGGTGCTTCAGGCTAAGAACAGTTTCAGGTTAAGAACGGACCTCCAGAACGAATTAAGTACAGTAACCAGAGGTACCACTGTATTGTTCATTTTCAGTTTTTGTAAATACAATATAAAATTTTGTCTATGTGTTCTGCATAATTATATGTGAAGCTTTTGCTTTCTAATGTATTTGATATGGGCTTTCTTTTCTTGATATGGTCCATGTGCTCATCGCATTTTTTGTTTCCTTCCTTCATACTCCTTTCATTAAAGCTGTCTGCTTAAGGCTGCAATGCTATAACTTGCTTACCTGCTGAACCCCATGTGTTGAGTAGATTGTACTATGTATGTTTCACTTACTGGTATATGTACTTTAAAAGTCCTGACAGGAGAAGGAAGGTGGTCTGGCAGCCTTTGAGCAGTTTCTGTTTCTTATCATACAGACACAGGAAATGAAGGAATCTCTTTCATTCCAGCTATGACTGTTGCTCAATACATGTGCCAATGAGCAGATTATCATTCCTTGCAGCCACTTGTGAGCACAGCGTAGCATAAAGAGCAAAATCCCTGCCAACTTTACAGTCATATATCCTGTCACATGGGAGGGATGACACATCAAGAGTAGAATCTGAACCATTATGTTAAACAGCGAAAGTGGGAAGAGTTCAGTATGCTTCTTTTGAACTTGACATCTCTTTAACCCCCTCGGCTGGGAAGTTGTTGCTTACAATAGCACAATCCTGGACGCATTATTTTCCCTTTTACAGTATTTCCCTTTTTCTAAAATTGCAATAAATTGCAGCTCCAACAGTAACCTGCAGCAAACAAATAGAAAAATGTAATTTACAGCAAAGAAAATACAGGGCATGTTATCATTAATTTTCTCTTTTCATATTCAGCAAAAAAATAAAATAATTTTAAAATAAAATTTCTTCCAATCCATATCTCCACATGGTGATAGCTTCATCATTTTACCAGCTTTACCTATTTTCCTCAATTGTCAATATTGTATTAATTTTTTATTCTTTTATCTTGGGGTGGTATTCAACTTCATTTTACTCAAAGTAGACCCATTGAACTTAATGGCACTGTTATGCAGTGGTTCTGCTCCTTTCTCCTGGGCAGTGCCCAGAAAGTGGTGGTGGGGCTGCCTTATACCCAGTCAGACCATCGGTCCATCTACCTCAGTTTTGTCTACACTGATTGGCCGCAGCTCTTCAAGGTTTCTTACTATGGGTTAAAATACTAGCATGTAGCTGGAAAAAGACTCTTCCACTAATAATAATAATAATAATAATAATAATAATAATAATAATATGGCACCCATCTGACTGGGTTGCCCTGGCCACTCTGAGTAGCTTCCAACAAATTATAAAACCACAGTAAAACATGAAACGTTAAAAACGTCCCAATACAGGGTTGCCTTCAGATGTCTTCCAAAAGTAAGATAGTTGATTATTTCCTTGACATCTGACGGAAGGGCATTCCACAGGGCAGGTGCCACTACTGAGAAGGCTGGTTCCCTGTAACTTCATTTCTCACAGTGAGGAAACCACCAGAAGGCCTTCAGACCTGGACCTCAATGTCCAGGCTGAATGATGGGAGTGGAGACGCTCCTTCAGGTATACAGGGCCAAATCCATTTAGGGCTTTAAAGGTCAGCCCCAACACTTTGGGTTGTGCTCAGAAATGTACTGGGAGCTAATGTAGATCTTTTAGGACTGGTGTTATATGGTCTCGGCAGCTGCTCCCAGTCACCAGTTTAGCTGCCACATTCTGGATTCATTGTAGTTTCTGAGTCACCTTCAAAGGTAGTTCTATGTACTTGTAGTTTTCGAGTCACCCATCCCCAAAATGCTTGGTACCTGGAGAAAACAAGCAAAAGCCTAGGCAGAAGTATCATAGAATCACAGAACTGTAGACTTGGAAGCGACCCCAAGGGTCATCTAGTCCAAAACCCTGCAATGCAGGGAACTCAGATAAAGCCTCCATGACAGATGGATAAAGGAGATAGCTCTGTATCTGATATACATTAATCTCTCCCAGTCCATCTATTCGGCATATATTCTGCTTTGAACTGCTGCTTTTGCAAGCAACCCAAAGTCCCCCAACAGTGGGCCAAAAGAAGAAAGAAACATACTTATTGACCGGTTTTCTGCCAAGGGCCAGTTCATTATTGCTCTTCTAGCATAGAGCTTACCTGTAATTCAGCAGCAATTTTAAGAGTCACGTACAGGAGAGATGCAAGCCAAGCTGTGAACCAACACCAGGCAAGTGTGGGTTTCTGTTCACTGCAACACAGACAGACAGACCCTTAGGGCCAGTTGTGTTGCAAGCCTCTGACATCACCAGGTTCTAGAATTTATGGATAATTGTAATCTGGATAGACTTCCACTGTTGTTCTCATCTGGGGGACAGGCCAGCTCTTAGGATAATGCTGGCTGGGCTCCCTTTGCTGATGTTACAAACTATTTGCTCAATCAGCAAAAGTGTAGTTCTCATGCCTGTGCAGTTCCCTGTTTGGCTTGTCTTCTGCACTGATGCTGATCAGGCGTGTGTGTGTGTGTGTGTGTGTGTGTGTGTGTGTGTGAAGGGGGAAGCACTCGCAGCAGGAAAACCATGTGGTGCCAATACAAGAGAACCAAGCTGTAAGTTACATCTCAATCAAGTAGTTGCCTGCTAGCTTGTCTGTCATCTGTAACTGAGAAGATCACCCAGACATGTGCATTAATCTGGGAACCCAGTTGTGTGTATTGAGATCATGGGGATATTTATGTATGCCACTACTGTATTTCGTTAGCCCAAAAATGGAAAACGAGCGAGGTCCCAACCAAAGAAGAGTGGCAACTTAAGTTGACAGAATATGCACAGCTTGGGGATTTAACATACAGAATAAGAGAACAAGAAGAACATACATTTAGAGAAGACTGGAAAATGTTTATTGAATATATAGGAAATAACTGTGTGCCGCTGAAAACGCTGGCAGCATTAAGATAAATTAAACAGTGTAAATAAGTCATGATGGATGGAATAATGGAATACTGAATGGTATAGTTTCTGTAAAATATGCAGGGATTTATGATATGTAAAATGGACCATGGAAGAAGAAGATGGGAATTTGTTGATATTTTAAGGATGTAAAAATGAGTACTTTAAATTGTAAAACAGAACATTTAATAAAAATTATATACAAAAAGAAGAGAGAGACCATGGGGATATCTATTTGGAGACAAAAAGCATCCCATGAAAAGGGCAGAACACAATTTTGCAGAGGGGGTGAGTCACAAGGAGACAGTTACGGTTGCAAAAATGGGACAGGCTGGTATGGAATGTGCATAGAGTTTGGGGATAATAGCATGGTGCCAGCAAAACATGTAATCTACTTTCACCACAGCTGTTATACTAATGCTCCAAAGTTTGCACTGGCTCCCTATTGTCTTCTTTCTAGGCACAATTCAAGGGCCTTTCCGGACAGTGGTCTTCTTCTCAGGGATATCACAGAATTTTCTGCCAGAGCCAAAGCAATTGAAGCAAATATACATCAGTCCTCCTTTAATGATACAGAGTAAGACGAGCCTTGTTGCCTGACAGGAGCCTTGTAAGGAGACATAGCCTTCACATTTTGGGGGAGATGAGTGATACAACAGTAGACTAGGGTGAAGAACCTCAGGGCCGGGGATGAATGCTGCCTCCCAGGCCTCTCTATCTGGCTGAGGGGCCAACTTCTCCAGAGGATTGCGGGGCCCCACGAGCGATACTTTGGTATCTATCTATCTGTCACCATGCCCCTGTATCTGTTTGATCCTTACCTGAGTACAAGCCAATCATTTTGCTTCTAGCAGTCCAAACAACACACAACTGTGATTTCCACCAATTGCCTCATGCTGAGTTCTGAGGAGCTATTTTCTCCAGCTCTTAACACGTGTGGCGGATTACGCTGAAAACCATTACCACAATGCATTCAGCAGGACTTAATTAATTAATTAAATTTATTAGGTGCCTTGTCTCACTGCAGGCAGCTCAAGAGTGTCTTTACAAAAACAACAAAACACATACACACACACATTCATTAAAACTGGGTGAGGGGGAACGACCCGTTAGAAAGCACCCTGTGTTGGACTTCCCGAGCAACTCTCCCTTACATATATTTTGAGTTCTGGTAGCAGTTTCCACTTGGTTCCACCTCTGGGGAAGTCATGTGTCTTGCTTTACAGACACGTTCTATTTATGGGGATTCCTCTCTTTGAAGATACTTCCAGTCCAGGTCTAGTTTAAAAATGAAAAACTCTTCTAAGAAGGGGAGAGCAAAAGCCTGGTTGGCTGCTGTGGGAGTAGATGGGCCTTTGCCCTGATTCAACGGGCTCATTTTATGTTCTCGTGCATAAAAACGGACATTTGCACATTTCCTGTAAATCTCTGCCCTCTTTTGTCCTCTTTTCGGGTGATGTCTAAGTGGCCCACCTAGCATCATTTAGCTGTTACATCAGGTCGTGGGGCTCCACTAAGGATTAAGCCCAGGAACACATGAGAGCCAGTGTGGTGTAGTGGTTAAGAGCAGTGGACTCGTAATCTGGTGAACCGGGTTCGATTCCCTGCTCCTCCACATGCAGCTGCTGGGTGACCTTGGGCTAGTCACACTTCTCTAAAGTCTCTCAGCCTCACTCACCTCACAGAGTGTTTGTTGTGGGTGAGGAAGGGAAAGGAGATTGTGAGCCTCTTTGAGACTCCTTAGGGTAGTGATAAAGCGGGATATCAAATCCAAACTCTTCTTCTTCTTCTTCTTCTTCTTCTTCTTCTTCTTCTTCTGTGGTGGGTTCCATTACTAGAGCCACATTCATGAAAGGCACCATGAAACCACTTCAAACAGCTTCAAAGAATCCTGGGAAGTGTAATTTGTTAAGGTCGTTATGAGGAGCCATCCTGGAACTGCAATTCCCAGAGTTCCCTGGGAAAAGGGACTGGCTGTTAAACCGCCCTGTGGATTGTGGCTCTGTAGGGGAACGTGGACCTCCTAACAACTCTCAGCACCCTAAACAAACTACAGTTCTCAGGGTTCTTTGCCATGGCTTTTTAAGGTGGCATCATAGTGATTTAAATGTATGGTGTGAATGTGGCCTCAGTGTACTAGGATAGAGGTGTTCCTCTTAATTTGCCTAGTGGGAGAAACTTTACTCTAGTTACTGCATTTGTTAAGTCCCATCACGGGCAGGATTGAACTTCTTACTTATTTCATTCATTAATCGCTTAGCATTCAATATCCTGAAGGGATTTAACAATAAAAACAGCAACAATAAACACATGTAAAAAATACCATTTCAATCCGAGGCAGATAAAAACTGTGAACAAAATCCCACTTGAAAGGCTTGCTGTTAAAGGCTTAGCATTTTAAACGCTGGAAGGAGATGGCAAAGTCTCCTCTGGTGCAACTTTAAATGAAATGTAGCTTGCAGTGCTGCCACGAGTTATTTAAAGGTGGAGTCGCTCCCATTGGGTTTATGCATGAGTAGATTGGCACAGCATTGCAGCCTTGGCATTCAAAAATTGCATTACACATCTTTAAACTCCATGTCCCTGGTTGTTACTGAAGCTCTGCTCTTGCTGAATGGATGGGTGCGAAGGAGGACACGTTCTTTCAAGATTACTCAGAGCCAAGATGTCTGAGCTTGTAGAACAAGTTCCCTCTCAGTGATGGGAAAGTGGCAATATGTGGTGGAGCTTATGCTCTCCTTAGGAGAATTCACCGTCTGCTGCAAGCAGGGTATTATACAAATAAGGTCAGTGGGACTGGGTTGCATTCAAGACCTCCTCGTTCTCCACCCAAATAATGCCCAAATAATAAAGATTTTATGCCACGCTTTTCCACCGGCAAACCAACACTAATGAAACAGAAGCCGCTCTCCAAAAATGAACTAATCAAATTTGTGATTTGAGGACTCAGTAAATGATCGGACTGCCCCTCCCATTTCATCCAATCTTACTGGAATAACTGAACATCCTGTGTTAGGGATGATTCTCGTTTCCTTTTTTTAAAAAAATAATAATTGTTAGCAGCCATTGTTAACCTCTGCATTATGAGGCTGAGATATTTTAAACCCATGCTATTCTGAATGGCAGAAGTACAGTATATCCCACCTTTCTTTCAAGTAGTTCAAGGTGGCATACAAGGTAGCTTTCTTCCTCCTCATTTTATCCACACAACAACCCTGTGAGGTGGATTAGGCTGAGAGACAGTGACTGGCCCAAGGTCACCCAGTGAGTTTTCAGGGCTGAGCAGGGATTTGAACCCTGGTCTCCCAGGTATCAATTAATGTCGTCACCTATAATTTGAACTTATATAACACATACATGGCACATTCCACAGGGGTAGCTATATTAGTCTGTTACAACCATCTTTTGTCACTTTATCCTCTTGCACAATGGGTCTTGCTAGATAAGCCAAAAGGAACACCCACAGACTAACGCTTCAGCCACTGAATCACTGTGGCATCCTGAGTAATTGGTTCTGAAGTTGACTCAGTTTAACCCTCTGTAAAATCGGTATTATTTTTGACTATGACTATGATTATTTAAAAGCATATACAGTGCTTAGAAAAAAAAGGTGCCGGAACTCACCACAAACGCCTTCCTTGTTCTCTTATAATGGCAATGGTGCCCATCTGGGAGGTGCCAGAATTGAGTTCCTACAAGTTCCAGCTGAAAAAAAAAGCCCTGAGTATATTCCTCCTCCCAAGAGAGCCCAGGTTGGCAAACACACAGAAAAGAAGACAATGAAATATTGTTAAAGCAATTCCAATACAGATTCAGATTGGGAATGATCTCTAGTTAAAAGATTTATTGGAGGAGGGAGGTCTTCAGTGGGCATCTAAAAGACAACAGAGGTGGTGTCTGTCTACTACAGGGGTCAGCAACCTTTTTCAGCCATGGGCCTCAGACCATGTGGTGGGCCGGACTATATGGGGGGGGGGGGAATGAACGAATTCCTATGCCCCACAAATAACCCAGAGATGCATTTTATATAAAAGGACACATTCTACTCATGTAAAAACATGCTGATTCCCGGACCGTCCGTGGGCTGGATTGAGAAGGCGATTGGGCCGCATCCGGCCCATGGGCCTTAGGTTGCCTACCCCTGGTCTAATATTTAAGGAAAGAGTGTCCTGTTTTCTAAATTCTGCAGCACTGACTTCCCGATAAGATGGTATCTGCAGGAAGCCCTCACCTGCAGAGCATAGCGATTGGCTGCGTTTACAGTGGGTAAGATACTCTTGGCATCCGTCTGTCTCAGAAAACAATAAAGGAGTGTGTCAAAGTGTCAGAGAGCTGCAGTGCCTGCTGTGGCTATAGAGACCGATACAGGAGAGACATGTTTTGCTGCAGGTGAGGCAGATTAAAGCATCGGGTTTTGTTACTGCAAAGGCACCATGGAGTTTCTTCTCTCTGCGCCCCCCCCCCTGGCTCATTCCTCCTCTGGTCACTGCTGTGGAAACACGACTTGACTGTCTGGTCTCCAGGCATTGCAGTGGTCTGCAAGGATGGGCAAGCACTTTGGTGAGGCAGCTGCAGCAATGGCTTGCCTCTCCGAAAGCATATGGGAGAATGTGATGCTAAGATATCGCAAAGAAAGTGATGGCTATAGGTTCAACTTATCCAATTTCCCCCAGGAAAGTTCAATCCAGATATTAAAACATTGATGGAGGTGGTTGGGGATGCGGGCTGCCATTAGGGTGCCAACATTGTCATGCGAGGTTACAGGGAACCAGGCAGAAGGCTCTTCCACCAAATATCAAGAAAATAAACAACTATCTGACTTTTAGAAGACATCTGAAGGCAGCCCTGTTTAGGGAAGTTTGATGTTTCATCGTGTTTTCAATATTCTGTTGGGAGCCGCCCAGAGTGGTGGGGCCAGATGGACGGGGTATAAGTAATAAATTAATAATAATTATTGTTAAGAGTAGTGGTAGTAGTACCCAAAACATGCATTCAGGAGGAGTACCAATCTCACAATAAACACCCATCTGGAAGCACCTTAAATTACAATGTAATGCACACACATGCTAGGTTGCCTCTTGATCAACTGACATCTATTCCATTCTCTGCCTACACATTTAAAGCACCTTTACCCCCTCCCCCAGATAATCTTGGGAGCTGTAGTTTGTTAAGGTTGCTGGGAATTGTAGCTCTGTGAGGGGTGGGGTAAACTATACTTCCCAGGATTCTTTTGAGGGTTAATGTGGTTTAAATGACTGGTATGTATGCAGCCAGCCATTCCTTTTATTTTTTTGGAAGTATCAAAGAGCTCCTCTTTTAAAAAAAAAAAAGGCAACAAAGATTCTAGACATACTATTGCTCTCTTACACACACTTATCATAATTCAAGTGGCAATTTCCAGTGCTAAAGGGCTAGCAACTCAGGAAGTCTATACCCCCCCTTTCTTCATTTAACCTTCTTTTGGTATGATTATGTCATCTATAAATTATGCAATATGAATTGGTGCTGAAGACAAGCCAAAAATTCCTGTAATACAGAGCTCACAGTGAAACTGCTTATGAGATAAATTAGTCATAATGTACATTTCAGATAAGACGGCATATTCGCGAACGTATGAGTAACTGCCAATGCAAACATACTATTGTCTGATTATGAAGACCGTATACTTCCTCTGTAGACCTTTAAAAATAAAAATCTAATCCTAGCTATTCCTCTATCAGAGTGATATAGATTGTCCTGTCCTTCTGCAAACATATAAAAAGTAAAATAAAAAGTAAAAACGCAGGGACCTAGAGCAGCATGGAGTCGGCTGCAAACTTCTTGTTTATTTTT